AAAGCCGTAAAAAGGAAGCAAAAAAAGAGGCTTGAGGTGATTGATGCATGCGTATGTGGACTGTGGCAAAGCCGGCAAGATGGAGGGGGAAAAAGAAAAATTCACAACCCAAGTAATAATAATAATAAAAGGAAAAACAAAAAGACGCATTGCTGTGAAAATAAGTGCGCGTCTATGAAAGACGACAAGCCAACAGCAACAAACCGTTTGTTCATGTGTACAACAGTGAGAAGTAGGCATGCAGGAGCATGTGGCTGTTGATGTTAGCAAATGCCGCTTTGCGCATGATGCTTCCATGCATTTATTTGTGTATCTTTTGCTTACCATGGGCTACCAACCTTTGTTTGTTTGTTTGTTTTCCATATATATTTTTTTTCATGTCTGATTTTTTGTGCCTGGGTGTAATTCCTTTTTTTTTTTTTTTTTTTTGGGTCTTATTGGCATGTGTGCGTGTGTTTCATTGCCAATTTTTCTCCAACACAAGCTGTGTACATCCGTATATACACATCTATTTTTTTTTTTTTATACTCCTAAGCATATATATATATATGTATATATCTCTGTATGGGAAGGTTTTTTTTTTTTTTTTTTTTACTTGCGGTTGGTTGTGCGTGTGTACTGGCGGCATTTTTCCGTACCTGGCATCATTTTATGTTTCTGTTTTTTTTTATTCGTCATTGTAATTCTTCAAGAGTTCCTTACAGAATATAACGTAAGGAGAAAAAAGCATAAACAACCCCCAAAAAATAAACGAATTTGCCACCAATGGAAGAACGAGAGCAAAGAGAAGGACCATAGAATAATTTAAGGGGAATTGTCATCATGTGTCGCTGTTGTTTGATAATGACAGCAGTGATGTGGCAAATATATCATTCTGTCAGTACGCGTTGTGACGTGTGATGATAATATTTGTATTGGTGATGGACTTTTTTTAAATATATATATTTTTTTCTTCTCGTTGGGGGGATTAAGGCAGGGTCTGGTAAGCATCTGGACGGGGAGTGGGGGGGAGAAGTTATATGTGTCTTCCCCAATGAGTTTGGGAGGTTGTTGATGGTGATTGAGATGCCGAAGGAAAGCGGCAACGAATAAATGTCCATTTAAGGAGGAAGGAATTGTGGGAGCGGTATATGCCTTGTTTTTTTTTTTTTTTTTGTTGTTGTATTTGCTTTCGTTTTTTTTTTTCTTTTGGTTTTATTTCTATACCTTTTGTACTTTTGGGTGTTTACATCGTTTCTTCTTTGATTTTTGTTTTTTTGTGTGTGCGTGTCTATGTGTGTTTTGTGAATGCGCTTTCTTTGTTTTTTCTTTCTTTTTTTTTTTTTTTTTGTCTGTTGCGTCCCTGTTTATTTGTGCGCAATTTGGTGTTTTTGTTTCTGTGATCATTATTATTATTAATTTATTTTATTTTTTTTTCTTTGTTCAGAGGGAGGGGTCTTTTTGTGCTGTTGGTGCAAGTGACGATTGGTGGCTTCATGCGTTCTAGCAGACTATTACGCGGCATGCTATGCGTAGACATGCGTGCGTGTGACTCTGCTTGGAGGGGCTTCCATTTTCTTTTCCCCGTGCTTGCTGGGGAGGGGAAGTGGAGGGGAGCGCAGGTGACATTTGGGACCGCCAGTTTTTTTGGGGTTGCGGCGGCGTCGCGACGTCACATGCTTTTATTATGCCACATTTAATCCCGGTACGTGTGCGTGTTTTTTGTTTTGCTTGCGCTATGTTGTTGCCAGGCGGAATGTACTTCGCGTAACGAACAATTTGTTTTTTGTTTTTTGTTTTTTGTTTTGAAGATATTTGCCTTTTTTTTTTTTTTTTGCCGTGTTCATTCTTTTTTTTTTTTTTTTGTTTGTTTCTTTTGTGCCTGCTGGTTGTAAGCTATGTGTATTCCTTGCCCTACGCGTTCCGTGCAGATTATTTGTCGTCCGCATTTTTTTTTTTTTTTCTGTCTGTCTGTGTGTGTGGCGTTGGTTACTGCTGTTTTGGTTTGGAGTTGTTGTCACCTCTTTGGACACTGCAACGAGGCCGGCTGCCGCAGCGGGCGGCATCTCCATGACTTGAGGACGAGAGGGGCCGGACGATGGACGAAGTCTGACGGTTCTGCGCATTTTTAAGCCGTGGTATTATACTCCACTGGTTGATGTGATATAATGTTGCAATACATTTTTCTTCTGACACGTCTTTTTCCTTTTTTCTTTTTTTTTTTTTTTTTGCTTTGAGTTTTTGTTTTGTTTTGCTCATTTTTCATCCTTTTTTTTTTTTTCTTTTCTATTTTGCTCTCACTCTCTGTGCGTGTGGCCGTGTGGTGCTGGCGGGTGTACGTTGTTGCAATGAACAATGTGTTGCATCCATTGTTTTTTTTCTTCTTTTTTTGTATGCCTGTGTTTTATCCCCCTTCGTGCGTTGTTGCTGTTGTCATCTTTCACCACCGTCTTTTTTTTTTTTTTTTCCTTCTCAGCCCGAGCGTTGGCACCCAGCGCGGACACACGCGGAGGGCGCAGAAGAGAGAGAAAAAGAAACAACAACCAGAAAAGAAAAATAAAAAAGACGTTGAAAAATTTTTTTTTTTTTTTTTTTGCCGGCTGCTCGTTGCTGCTCACTGTTCCTGCGGCACCCTCCGGTCGGCAATGGCTGCCCCTACGCGTGACTTTTTCTTATTTTTTTCTTTTTTTGCTTCTCGTACAAGGAAAAGGAAGAGAGAAAAAAAAGTGGCTTTGATCCCGCTGCTGCGTCGCAGGTGGACTCGCGGTAGTTTTTTTTTTTTTTCTCTCGGTATTTTATCAAAGTTGTTTCTCTTTTTTTTGTTTGTTTTTTTGTTTCTGCAGGCTTTTGGTTTGGCTTGCGGTGTGTGTTGGCTTCTTTTCCGCCGCACCTTGCCATTGTTGCTACATCAGACGCCCCGTTGAAAAAAGGGAAAAAAAAAAGCGTAATGATTTCTAAGCCACCGCCGCAGTCGGGTAGCGCTCTCGAAGGCTCGGGAATGGAAAATGCCAACGAACAGAGAGATGATGAGTTTCTTGCGTTGGAGCGACGGGCCCGAGAAGCACTGGAGGAATTAGCTGCCAACAGTGAGCGGGAGGAGGTTTCCACGGCGGAGTACACAACTGCGTTGCGTGAATACCGTCAGGCGTGTCAGGTGCGTGCACGATATGTGGAGGCGGATCTTGTTCAGCAGGTCCTGCGCCATCTGCGGCTTGATGAGGAAACAAGACATGTGCGGGGACTGACGGAGCAGCAGATGCAGGAGCGTCAGGCTCTAGAAGATGCACACCGTGAGGAATTTCAGGAGTTTCATCGAGTTTGGAATGCGAGGATTGACGAATTTGAGGAGCGGCAGATGGAGATGGAGACGGCGCTTCTGGAGCGCCAGAATGCGGAATTACAGATCTTTTATCAGGAAGTAAATGCATTAACCCCACGTACGGCGAAGTGTAGTCGGGGACTTTTGGACGCGAGGGCAGTCGAGCAAATTCTCGCGTCACAGCGGGAATACGCCCGCGCTCACCGTACTAAAATGAAAGCCGATCGGTTGGAGGCGAGGGATGCTGAGCGATTCATGCAGGCGAAGATAGAATTGTTTGAAAGACGAGAGGAAGTACTGCGACAGAAACACCAACAGGAACGCGATGTGTTAAATAAAAAAATAGAACGGCGACGAATGGAGTTGGAGCGGTTGCGGAAAAGAGAACTGGATGTGCTTTTCCAACGGTACATGAATGTTCGACGTGAACTGGAGCTTCAACAGAACATTATACGGAGCAAAACTGGAACCATTCTTTTGAAGCACGCGAGCAACACAAAGAGTGACGCCAGTGGGAGTGCGGCGTTGGTGGAAAGTGCCGGGTCAGGTGCGTTTGGTCTAACGGTGAAGCGCCGTCACTTTGACGAGGCGATGAGCCATCGTACTTCTCCAGCGTCGCATCAAGCCCCCGAGTAAATTGTTTGCAGTTTGCAATGCAACCGTGTGCTCGTGAAGGAAAGAGGGGGAGGAGTGCGGATCGTAAATGCCTTTGGTGTTTGGCACGTGTAGGAACGTGCTCCAGAGCTGTTCCCATTTTTTCTTCTTTTTCCCCCTCTTTTTTCTTTCTTCATTTTTTATCCTTTTTACCACAATTTTCGGAAGGAATTTGCCGAGTCTTCCTGAAGGGTGGATGATGGGGAAGAAGTGAGAATTTTTCTTGTTTTTCATTTTTGGATGTATATTTATATATAGCTGGGAAGCGCTGAGGGCGGTGAGCGGTGTTTGCATGGCTTTTGTCCCTTTCTTCTTTGAGGATTTGCTTTTGTCGCTCTTCTTGCTTTTACTGCGTCATGTTGTTTTAGTCCCAGTTCGACGTTTTTTTTTTTTTTTTCTGTCGAGGGGGGTGGGTGGGTGCGCTCTGTGTGAAGTGTGCTCTTTTCGGGTGTATTTTTTTCTTTGTTTGCTCCTTTGTTGTTGTTGTTTCTTTTGTGCTGGATGTTTTTTTTTTTTTTTGTGTGTGTGTATGGGGAAGAAGAGAAGAGTTTATTTTTTTGTTATTGTGTGAGGCAAAGTGTAGGCGCAGAAGCGACATCGTCTTTAAGAAGCAAGCCCAATAGGGAAAACATTGACGGATTTATCTCGCCAAGCAAATCTCTCTTTTTTAATTCTAATTGAATGTTAAGCACATTGTTTTTTGATGAGGCCGATGCCAGTAGCGCCCTTCATGTGAAGGCGACGCGTCAGCAGCATGCGGAGGGTGAAGAGGAGAGTTTCGAGGTCTCTGGTGGTCCCTTGGTCACACGCAACGCAATGCACTGCTTCAACAGTGGCTCCATCCCCATCCCCTCTTTGCGAGCCACACTACTTTGGTGGTTGGACCGCGATGCACCACGGGTGCATCTCCTCTTCACGAGCAGTTCACCTGGTGACGTGAGTTACTGTTGTCGCAAAATGTCAGTGGAGGTTCCTGCAACGCGCCAGACGATCATTGCCTGTGGACTCACTCACATTAGGGAAGAGACTGTTTTTGCCGTCACATGGGTGACCTCCATGCCGGAGGTGGGGCTGCTGCGGCTTCAATTACAGCGAAGCAATGATCACCACAGCCAACTTCTTCTTGTTCCCGATGGAAGGGCAGTGCTGACCTCGCGGCTTTTTCGGGTTGCTGAGGCATTTGAAAATGAGGCTGAAACTTTTTCCTATGCGAATGGTGGGTACAACAAGGATGTTGGGGAAGAAGTTGGGATTAGCGCTTCTTTTTCCGCATGCATTCTTGCAAGTCTTCCAAGAGAGAAGGCACTTAATGGATTACTTTCCATGATTATCCTCACCAACGGTATTAGTTTGTGGTGGGTTGAGATGGGGGAGGACGGCGCTTTTGTCGAGAAAGAGATCCATATCCCAAATTCTTACAATGGAAACATTTCAGGGTCTTCACAGGGTAGTGGAGTTGCTTCTTGGCTTCCCAGCTGGCCGTGGGATGGCAAACGGGTAAAGGGACAATGGTGCCTTACCGTCAGTGCAGTGCAACAGACGCAATACATTCTTGTTCTGCATTGCAGTGGATTGTTGGAATTATATGACAGTTCAGTGGAGTCAATGGGTCCCATCTTCTCCTGTGCTCTACCCAAGGACGCGATTGCCAATTCCAGAGCCGCATATCAATGGGCTACACTTCTTAACGACGATATACATGTGGTGACATGCTTTGGTGGCAGTGAGGCTTGTCGGTGTGTATGGTTACGTTTACCAGGGAGCATGGCAGATGGGAATTTTCAGGGTGCGGAATGTATGTCCATAATCCCTCCAACAGATACCAGTACACTCATTGGATGTGTCGCGTTAAGTGCAGAAAATCTTGCTCTTCTCTGGGATTTTGGTCTAGAGGGAGACGCTTGCCTGTGTCCCTCAATTTCAATTGGATCGCTTTTGCACAGCACACAACAAGGCATATCGGGTATTCTACATCTGATTACCGCACAGCCAGAGGGTAATGCATTAGAAAATGGGGAAGGTGGAAGGATTGAAAATTGCCAGGGAAATAACGCTGTTGCACTTTTGCCTTTAAAGGGGTCAGAGGTTTACTTTTGTCATTCACACCCGCTTGACGCGCTAACATTTGTGGGGAATGAACTTGTACTGATTGAGAAAATGGATGGAAAGGTGCGGGCTCATGTATTATCCGATAAAATGAGTCTTTTGGAAGCGTTAATTGAATCTTCTTTTGCAGTTGGACGTCCCGTCACGGCCTTTACTCGTAACTCCCTGTCACTTTTGGCTATGCATTTAATTCCTGCTGTGGTGCGTGATGAGGATAATCCCCACTGCATGGATACTGAGGCATTTGAAGAGGGCGTGGAGTTGGCAGCATCGTGCGTTGACGGTGCAGACAATCTTGCGGCATTACTTATCAATACAGTGCAAAATGTACCAGTGGCCCTCACAATAGGTGGCTTCCAGCTTTTACGCAGTGCGGCGCACTTACAGGGATATTTTCCTTCCGGTCTTGTGGATGATGCCGCGATGAGGATTGCTCTGGAACATGCCGCGACCCACGTGGAGGTTTCTTTTCGGCGCACCTCATTTTGCAGTTTTTCGCGTCGGTTTGTGCAGCATACCGTTTCCAGGGATCTTTTGTCACGTATCGCTTACCTTGTTTGTTCTTATATTGGTTGGATGTGCTCTGATCTTGCATACACCGCGAGTCTGGAATTGCCTCGTGTCCGCATTGTCTTGGAGTTTCTTTCTGCAGCATACCATGCAATGAGCGTCGCTGGTCCCAACGTTGCTTCTGTTGTACCTTGTGTGGGCGAAAATGTCATCTCTGATGTACTACAGCTGTTGCTTCAATTTAAACCAGGTTGGGGAGAGGCGGGGGAAGATGCACTTTATGCTGTACAAGTGGCAAAACGACTCTGGGCAAGCGACGGGGAGCTTGGAATGAGGGCATGTGTGACGTGGTGCAATCTTTTGGGCCGTCGCTACCCGTGCCTGCAGCACTTCCGGATTCTTCGCGATATTGGCGCCGGTCGAACAACACGTTCTTCTCACTTTATGACCATGTGCGTTACGGTATCCTTTCATTTATCGAGCTTGCCAGCAAACATCGCTGTGCCACTTCTTCTTGATAATGAATTGGGTATTTGTGGTGGTGGGTTTCTCCATATGGCTTTTGCCGATGTGACTGTAGAGGATTGGAGAGCTTTAGTCACCACCAACACAACTCTTGTGGCGAAATTGTACCGCGTGGCTCTTCTTCGTCGTGTAATTTATCCAAGAGATGCGCATCACGCAAGTGTGAGTGGGCTGCTGATACGTGAACTATTTCTGACCGAGTTGGTGGAGCTGGAGCAGTACGTGCATCTTGCGGGTGTGGGATTTTTGAGAGTTCATCGGGCACTTGTGGAGCTTCGACTTGAGACACACATGTTTCTTGCAAGAGTGGCGCTCGATGAGGCAAAAATTGGCGATGTCTTCCGTTCACTGGAAGAGTTGCTACAGTGTGCGGCGGCCCAAAAAACGACTGCTGTATATTTGGAGCAGGTATTGTCGATTCTTGGAGAGGTTGCTGAGTTGGCCTCTGCCTCGCAAGAAATAACCGATGCTCTTGTTTCTCTTGCCCACTCCAATGCCGAGTTGGATGGCTATCTTGCAACGAAATGGTATTTGTACGCCGCAAGGCTGTCAGCGAAGACGGCGTCGCTGCCACAAGCGGAGGTCGTGCGATTACGGGCGGCAAGAGGGCTCTTCCGCTTTCTTTGCAAGCGCCATGCGTATGGGCAAGCCGGCCGCATGATGACAGATCTCGTCAATGTTGTCCGTTGTTCTGCACCTCGCTCAAGTGCTGTGGAGGGAGTACTGGAAATGAGTGCACTTGCGGTGACTGCAGTTGAACTGATTGCGCCCGATGTGTATTTACACATGCAACAAGACGAGAGGGAACCGTTGACGCTTGCGGCCTACGGGCCCGCCACCTATCCAAATGTGTTGGATCAAACACCCTCAAAAACACCTTTAAATCGCAATCACCTCCCATGGTTGCGCCGACGTCATTTTCAGGCCTTTTGTGAAAAAAGGTTAATGGAAGTAAACCAATATGTAGACTGCACCGACTTGTGGACAGAGAATCCGCCAGTTGAAGTTCAAGAGGCAGCAGTGAGACGATTTGTGGGTGTGCTTATGGAGTCTCGATTTTGGCCAGAGGCCCGCCGTTTCGCAGCCATGATGGGACATGACGTTGGTACTGTTCTCCAAGGGCACGTGCTAGATCTTATGACGTCCACGGACCACAAAACCGATGAGGAAGCATTGGTGGAGTGGTTTGAGATGGTTGAGGGGTGTGAGGAGTTCTCGTCAGCAGAAAACCAATTTGATCCATTGCGACGTACAGTTGTTGCGGCTTTGTCATGCAACTTTGAGAAGGCGCATCCTGCTCTTCTTGAATCGCTCGAGCAGGCCGATCGTTATGAGGCACTTCAGGCATTGATGGAGGCCTTTGAGATACTGCATTACAGACGATCAATGGTGGTAACAGCAAATAACGTAGCAAATGAGGAGGAAAATGAAGAAAATTTACATTCTGCTTTTTCTGATTATGGTAGCAATGAAACCATCAGTGCTACTCAGCCATGGCTGCCCTTATTAGAGGCACTCCGTATTGGCACAAGTGTCTTCACAGACTCCCTGTACAACGATGAGGATGCGTCAAAAATGAGCGAGGCGCCCATGACTGCAGGGCTTTTTGATCGTATGGCCTGCAGGGCACGTGAGTTGCTGGGCTCCTCACTTCTGTTAGAGCGTTTAAGCAGTAAGCAAGCTGGCTCAACTGCGGAAAAGTTTTTGAAATCTTTTGAGATGATAAAGGAATCCAAGTTGGCCAATGGTGTAGTGCACCAACAACAACGATGCACATGGGGGAATAGGGGGTGGTAGTTGTGGTGGCAGGAATTGGGGGGATGAGGGAGCGAAGTGCCGATCAAGGAGATCGCAGCGGGTGGAAAAAAGGAAAAGAAGAAATAAAAGGGCGGAGGCAAAAGAAGAGAGAAGTGAGGGCTGGGGAAACGCGGCTGTGTGGAAGTTGGCGACGTCTCCTACTTTCCCCCCGAAATAGACGATGCCGAAGGGAGGGCGATAAGTTCACTGGAGAGTTCACTCCATGAAAGAATGAGTGGAGAGAAATTATTCCCGCCCATCACTCTGTCAAAAAAAAAGTAAAGAAAAGAAGGGGGAAAAACAGAGAGACCTGAAGGCTATTATTGTTATTATTTTTTTTAAAGCCAAACAATCGAATAAGCGTTCCATTGCTAGGACTGCAGGGGTTTCAATTTTTTCTTCCTTTTGGTTTTTCCTTTCGCCTTTTAATTTTTTTTTTGGATTTTTATGTTGGTATTTTTTTTTCTTTTTTTTCTTCGCAGCAGTCTTTCGTTCGGTGTAGATCCCATGAAACGGCGTCGACGCGAGAAGGAGGACATGGGGCCGGCAGCTGCTGCGCTGCGTCGGCGTTCCGTTTTTCGCGATGCCCGCGCTTCCACAACGCAGCTCACTGCCGCGCAGCTCATTGCGGATGCCCAGGAGATGCAGCGCGGGGCCGGTCCCGTCAACGATAGTACAAAGGTGGTGATTAACAGCCCAGAGGAACTTGCTCTCTACCGCCAAAAGACACGGGCGGAACTGGAAGAACGAGTGAAGCGCGGCTACAGTTTTCTTGGTAATTGGGTGAAGTACGCCCGTTGGGAAGCGCAGCAAAAAGATTTTGAGCGGATGCGCAGCGTGTTGGAGCGGGCCGTGATTTTTCATAGAACTTCCCCAGTTTTGTGGCGTGAATATGCCGAGTTGGAGGAGGAGTATGGATTCCTCAACCACGCGCGGGCGGTATGGGATCGTGGGGTAACTGCGTTGCCCTCTGCCACGGATCTTTGGTTGAAGTACCTCGTTCTTGAGCAAGCTGCCGGACAGGAAGGCAGAGTGCGTGATGTGTTTAACCGTTGGCTTTCTGGTCCTGCTCCACCTAATTGTGCCTGGGAGCTGTTTGCTCTCTTTGAGGCACAGTGCCAGAGGGCCGATGCGTGCAGAAATGTTGCTCGGCGCTATGTTGAAACGCATGGTGAAGTGGAGACGTGGTTGTTTTATGGTTCCACCGAGCTGAATGTCCTTGGAAACGTGGAACGGGCAGTCAAGGTGTACGAAACAGCGATGAAGTCCCTTCCAGAGAGCCACATTAATGGTGAAAAGGATTGCCGGATCCCACTTGCGTGGGCCGACGCTCTTACAGCCGCGAAGAAATATGAGGATGCACGCCACGTATACCACCGTATGCTGCGGGAGTGCACGTCAATTGATGCCTTGGACAATATTTTTGCAGCGTATAGTCATTTTGAGCGTCTTTATGGGGACAACGAAAACTGTGAGGCTGTGGCCGTCGCGGTTGCCAGTGCAATGTATCAACAACGTATTGCTCGAAACCCCTATGACTTTGATGCGTACGTGTCACAGTACCTTATCCTAAGGGACGCAGTCCAGCACAATAAGGATGATGAATCGAGCAAGGAAAATTCATATGAGGAGGCGTTGAAGTGCTTGAAATCTGCAGTGCGTACGCGCGTCGATGGAACAAAAGATCCCATAGCAATGCAGCGTCGAGCTGTTATAGTGATGGAGTACGCGCGCTTCATTGAAGAACGAGACATCACCGCAGCGCGTGCAGCTCTGGCCAGTTGTATTAGAGAATTTCCCTTTAAGACGGCGTGGTGCCCTCGTCTCTGGGTAGAGGCTGCTGCACTTGAGCGGCGTCATGGGGCATACTCAGAGGCTCGTAGGCTTTTGGGAGCCGCACTGAACCTCTCAGCTTGTCCGGAGGTTTTCAACGCGGCATTGCAGCTTGAGGAGGAAGCTTGCGCGACCGGTGAATTGAGTCGTGAGGATCGTGTGCAACGGAGTCGCACCATCTTCCAGACAGCTATTAAGCAATTTCCACAGGATTTCACTCTCTGGGAGGGTTATGCCAAGATGGAAGAGAAGGAGGAGCAGTTTCACCGTTCGGATGCGCTACGAGCCGCTTGCATTCATTCTCTTTCGGCGGCGGCACGAGCGGCATCGTCGATGGCGGATCGCTACGCGCTGTTAGAAAAGGTCGATCAGGCCTGGGCTCGACGGCTGGCTTTGAAGCGTCGAATTGTTCGCGCTGCACAGAAGAAGTTGCACAGTCTCGGTACACGTAACGCGGAGGAAACTAAAACGGAGACAACTACCCTTCAGAAACTGTACCGTGAGCTGTTAGACTCTGTATGGGATGATTACAAGTACGAGGCGATCGAGTGGAAGAGAAAGATCACAACAACAGGAGGGATTCTCTCATCACCTCCAGAGCGCATGCCGGACCTTATGGCACCCGCTGTTGCACGGTGGGGTGAGGCGGTGGGTGCTGTTACAAAGTTTGCTCTTGTGCCTACTCAACGCACGGGGGAATACGAAAGTTCCTCGGTTGATTGGATGCGCGCCGTCTTCCGTGAGATGTTGGAGCGGGAGCGGCCCGACCTACTCCGACAGCTTGGAGGAGTTGATGATAACGCGAGCTACGAGGCAGTACAACAAGCAAAGATATGGGGGGAGTTTCTGGTATCTCCCATTGTAACAGAGTGGAGACGATTTGAGGCGACGTACGCCACACCGGAGGAATTGGAGGCTGTTAAAGAATTCATGAAGCCGACTAAACGCCGCACTCGCCTTTTTGCGGGGCGGAAATTCTAAAAATAAAAAGAAAGAGTTGGGAGTCAGAGAGAACACATAGGAGAAAAACAATTGAAAGGGAGGCGTGAATGGATACGAGAGTGCAGTAAATAGGGAGGGAGAAATTGTTTCTTTTTATTGACTGCATCAGTCCATCAGTTCGACTGTTGGTGTGTTTTGTGGGTGATTGCGGTGATGCTAGTCGTGGTTAATGCATGAAACTGAATTTTTGTTTGTTTTCCTGCTCTTGTTTTTAATTATTTTTTCCTGTGTGTGCGGATATGTATGCTTTCTTCTCCCTTTTTTTTTTTTTCTTTTGGGCTTGTTTGTTTGTCTTGCATGTGTTATTTTGTTTGATTTTTATGCGTTTGCGTGTTGAGCCTCAGAGGACAGGTGGCCGCAGTGGTGAAGTTTGGCACGGTTTCTGCGGCAGTAGGAAATGGATCCACAGACACAGAAGGAGGACAACGTGATGGGGGTTGTACGTTGTGTGCAGGAGAAGGGATATGGTCGCACCTCCTTCTTGACGTACAAAAAGCGCTTTTGGGTAGTAGATCAAACGCAGGGTCGTATAGAAGTCTACAAGAATGACCAGGAGCCCTTTCCACTGGCAAAGTACAACGCCTCGGAGGTACGTGGGGTCATCTTTTCGGGCTGCAAGCAAAATAAATTCTACCGTCTTGTGCTGCAGCTGCGGCATGCCCGAAATGTTAGATTCCGGTTGAACTCCATGGCCGAACGTGATCGCTGGTACGCCGCCATCACGCGACTCATCGAACGTTATCCGGCGTATAACCGGGACCAAAATGTCCTGCGTGTTGCCCAACGACGAACGATGACTGCGGAGCGGTCGCTCGGTGTAAGCATTACACTAGCCATAGCGGGTTTGAGCGATATTCCCGATGATCTTTTGCAATATTTGGTTGAGGCGGTCGATATGGCGATTGAGACCATTTCTTCGGTGGTTCAAAAATATGGCAGCGAAAATGACATTCCGAGGCGATACACGGTTACGGTGGCTACGGCCTCTGGGTCGCAGCCTAACATTGGGCCGCAGTATGATCCCACCACACGTAGTCTTGTAATGAACGTAACAATCACCCGCGATATCATGGGAAATGTGCGCTTTTCTGTTGCGAATTCTAGTGACATTATGAAAATAACTCAATCGCATGTATGGCGAGATCCTCGTATTGAGGGATGGATCACCACAAGCAAAAGCTGTGTTGCAGTTTGTCGTGATATTGGCGAACTGTTGGGAATCAAGAAGCCCTTCCCGTTCACCTTTCAGTGGAGAAAAAACCTGAGGGATACAGTCCGTGTAGAGCAGTATCTGCGCCGTCATGTACACGAGGAATTCCTGCGAAATGTGCAGCAACAGATTGTGCAGGTCGCAGAAGAATTTGGACGTGATGAAGGGGTAACAGATGACTCTGTATACATCAAATACATTGGAGACTACGTCTCAGGAATAGCCATTACACTTGACGAGAAGACCGTCGATGCGGATAAACCCCCCGAGTTGTTTGTAACGACTACTGTTGAGTATCAGCAGCGTTGTAGACATGCTGTAGTGATGATATCCAGATACTTTGAAGCGTATCGAAAGCCGCGTGTTGTGGCCCAGTCGCTACGTGATCAGCTTGTAAATGTTGTTCTTCTTGCAGATCTTAGCAAGCGTATGAGCGAGGTCAGAACCTCCATTGCTCAAGTATTAGGAGGAAATGGACGTGTAAAGATCATATGGGACAATCTTTTACGTTCCTGTGCAAAAGTATCAGTTCCTTTGCTTCTTCGTGGTTTATCACACCTGGTTCTTTCATGCAGCAATATTTATGTAGAACGACTTGAAGGCATTCGTCAGCTTTTGAGTGGCATTACATCCTCAAATGAGGGCTATTGTCCTCTTTTCGGAACGATATTTAAAAATATCAATTCTATTGTTGTTGACTTTGTTCCTTTTGTGACAGGTAAAACGTTAACTCTTCCCGATCCCCAGTTTCAGCAAGGCATTTTAACGGACTACTTTCTTTGCTCAACGGAGGGGGATCAGGGTGCCATGATGGATCTTGTGCGCAAATGGCGTGTTGTGCCGCAGGCCAATCAAGCCTATGCCGTTGTATCCCAGTTAGTTATTTTTCCTTCTATGCCCGTTGCAACGTTTAGGGAGTGGTGTGAGGAGCATTTACGTGACATCCCAGAAGTGGACGAATACGTAGACACCGATGATTCATGCTCGTGTTCCTCTATTCCTTCAGAAGACTTTGGGGATGCGGTGGCATTTGAGCGTAGTGCTGAAACACAAGTTCTTGATATGCACCGAGTTGTCAGCTTGATATATGACTCACAAGGTGTTTCTGTAAGTCTTAAGATTGGTGCCGATGCCATTTTTGATGCTATTAATGCCCTTGAAGCGGCTTTTGACGGTCGTCGAATTCGCAAGCATGACTTGGTGCGGGTACTGATTTCCAATTTGCGACGGCTTCGTGTCATGTATAGCCACACCATCGGAGGAGAAACGACAAGTTTTCTGGACCTTCATTCCGCTGTAAATTTACTTTACGAATTGTGCGAATACGAGGAAAGTGTCTCGGGACTGGAGGAATTGCTGCACAAGTATGCGTTACAACGGCGTCAGGAACTCATTACATTGGGAAATGGGTCAATTACGGAGCCAAACGATGAGATGCCTATCAACTTATCCGGGTGTGTATATGACTTTCAATGCGTGTCGCGGGTGGCGTTGAATCATTTACTGCCGATTGAGGCAAAGATCGCTCGGCGGGGGTGGCGTGTAGGCTTTATGGCAGGATTAGAAAACGTTGGCAAGACGCTCATTTTGAACTCCTTAATGGGTCTTGTGCAGTCCACTATTCCGACTGTTGGGTTGTCCAAACAAGTGGCGGCCTTTGAGGAATGGATATTTTCGCTGAATGAACTTGGCGGCCGCGAGAGTTTCCGGGAGAATTGGCGTTATTATGTGAAACGCATGGAGGCGGTGGATTTTTTGTTGTTTGTAGTAGACAGCATGAACAAGCGTGGCTTCAAGGATGCCGCGGCCTATTTGCGTGCGATCACAGATCATTTTACCACTGTGCCACTCGTCGTTATTTTCAACAATTATCGCGTGGGCTCCCGCGGAACGCCTCCTCTGAAGGAGTTGGAGGCGTCCATTAAGTTGGACGTTGTGCGTCATCGACAGGCGGCTCGCAGCGTGTTTGTCGGAACATGTGACATCACTGTGGTGAGTTCTTCCCATCGCACTCTCCCGGCAACGCTCTTGTCTGCGCTAAATGAACTGAGCACGTACTTTCGCCAGGTTTCGCCGCCGGAGCGTATGGCTGTGCAACCAAAGGAAGGTGGCAATTCAGAAGCCATGTTGATGAAGTTGTCATCTTCCATGGCATGGCGGATATGATATGACGCTGCAGGGTGCGGCAGACACGTTTTTTTTTTTTTTTTTTCCAATTGAAGGGCGCAGCTGAGCGAGGAGCCATGCGTGCTAAGGTTTTTTTTTTTTTTTTTTTCTTGCTGGAAGAGTGAATATGTGCTCACATATGTATTGTGCCTCTATGTGCATGTACATGACGATATGCTCTGCAAAACGAAGACAGACACAAGAAGACAAAAAGAGGAAAAAGAAATTAAAAGTTATTATCTGCTTAGTTTTACGTGCATTCTATATATATATATATATACTTTTTTCTTTTTACTTTTGCTTCTCTTCAAGTTACAAATTAGTGTCTCTCCCAATCACCCACCATCACCTGAAGAATATACGTATATATATATATATATTTATTTATTTATTTAAGAACCCTTTATTTTGTCCTGCTTGTCGTTTGCTTCTGCGTAAGGTGCACATTTCACGAAATGGTCGAAAATGGAGGGGTAGAAGCTTCCGTTCCATTGCCATACGGTGAGCAACAGGGGAGTTTTATGGGTGTTGTTGCATTCTCTAACAGAGATGATGGCTTCTTCAGTGGTGAAGCCAATTATTTGTATCAGAAAATATACACTGGGTATCGCTATCAATGTGTGGAATACGCTCGTCGCTTTCTCATTCTTACCACCGGATGTGTTTTTGGCTCCTGTGGAGGCGCAAACGAGATATTTGAAATGAAAACTTTGAAACACATAGAGACGGATGCAAAGCTTGATTTTATTGCACACCCAAACGGCAAATCGAAGCGTCGGCCTACACCTGGTGACATCATCGTCTATCCGCGCCACTCTCAGCTGCTTCCGTGGGGTCATGTTGGTGTTATTTCGTATGTGCACAATCAAAAAGTGGGCATCGCAGAGCAAAATTACTCTTTTTCATTGTTTACCTCCCCCGACCCGGGCTACCTTGGGGGAGAGCGCTGCGTGAGCCGTTATTTGGATCTCGAGCTGACAGCCGATGGCAACTGGCAGCTGAGGGAACGCCAAAGGAATCATCCGGACTGTCTTGGCTGGATGTCATATCCCAGGGCCTCTCGGCGGAGTTCAATTCATGAGCCACTGCAGGCTCCACCCGAGCAACGGAGGGTGCGGGCGACGCCATTGGATCAGGAGGACCACCCCTGTTTGTGGCGCTTTGCGCTTCCAGAAGACAAATTCCCTTTTCGCTCACTCTACGTTTTTCGTCACGGCACGGGTGAGGCACTAATAGGGGCTGTAACCGCCTTTTCTCGAATAGTTCGTGTTACACTGGAGTTTCTCTTCAACCGATGCCAGTTGTCGGCTGGGCTTGCTGCCTTATTCTCCAGTTTACTCGGGGCTGGTTTTCAGGATATACCGAAGAAGTTGAAAGACATCATTGAAGCCGCGGCGAATGAAGATGACAATGATGCATTGATGGAGCATGCCATTGCGGCCTATTTTTCCTTACCAGAGGATGTCATTACAGCAATGCGTCGTGAGTTTCGGCTAGCCATGACCCACATGAGTGCTCATATCACCTATCGTTTTAATTTGGCAGCAGATGTCCAGAAGCAACTTGAAAGCGGCGTTGAAATGCACTGCTTAAAAGCTGTAGAATTACATGATGAGGCCTGGGTAGTGGAAAATGTCAACTTTGGGAATCCCTGGATCCTTTCTGAGCTTTCCGTGGCACTTGCTTCAAAGGGGTCATGTCAGGAGTTTCTTTGGGAGGCCACTCGACCTGAAGCAATTTGTCTGATCCCATGTGAATTTCGAACGGATTTCTTACGATACGTCAAGCATGTGGAAAAAATGCGTGGTTCGCGTACTGGTTTCACGATTATTAAAAGCTCTTCGTTTCGGGGCGATGATGCAGACACAGTTACAGCATCTATTCTCTCCTTCTGTGAGGCCTTTCAATACCCCACTTTTGTTTTTGATGAGTCTCGCGTTTGGTATGACTCAGAACAATCAAAACTCTACGGGCGTTCCACTACAGGAGCCAATTTACACGTTGACTTTTGCTTCTGCATGACGGAGTGGCCGGATATTTTGTCTGCAGCTGCGGATTCTTTCGAAGGGAAGTTAGAGGGCCGTTCCGCTCTTCGCCAGGCGGCAACTGACCCTCGCGCAGACGTGGTATTTGCGAAGCCTCTATGGTCACTTCTCTGCTCTGGCAGTGTTAATCGGATAAAAGACGGGGCGAATGACACAAGCGTCAAGTTTTTTGACATTAGCCGCTGTCTCTATGAGTTTTTTTTGCCCAAACAGCCTCTAGAAACACTGGAATCTGACTTGCATGAGTACAGGGATTCGTGCCGCCGCTGCCATTTGACCAGCGCCCCAGCACCGGAGCTTATTTCTAAAAGTGTCCGAGGGGAAACCGTCATGGTGGACTTTGCAGCGAGCTGCGTCACTGGACGTGAGGCGGATGGCAAGGCTGCCGGACTCATGTATTTGTTCCTTTGAAAAAAGATCTTTTCCTTCTGAAATTCCAGTGAAAAACACAAAGTAAGCACCAAGTAAAAAACGGAAAGGTGCAATTGAGTGGAAAGTATGTTGTAAAAATGCTAATTGGATTGTTCTGCTTATATTTGATGGCAGGTGCGTTTGCCTTTCTTTACTTTTGTTTTCCTTTTTACACTTCCATGTTTTTTTGTTTTTTGTTGAAGAGAAAATGCAAAAATAATAATAATAACAATAAAATGAAACGCGAGGAGGAAAAACAAAAATGGGAGATGGAGCAAAGACGCATGGCTTTTTATTGACAAATTGAAAGCATTTGCTTAGTTTTTTTTTTTTTCTTTTTTTCACGTGTTGCCAAATGCTTTGCAAAACAATGGCTCAGCCACTCCAAACAAATGCAATGTTATTTGATGGAAAAAATAAAAGAAGGGAGGGACAGGAAGACGGGGCAAAAGGTGGAATTGGGTTTATGTCGTTTACAGTGAAAACGAAGCGGTCACGGTATTTGTTTTATTTCTTTCCCCCCCTCCCCCTTTTTTTCTTTCTTTTCCTTTTTTTAAATTTGCATCTCTGCATGTGAAAACGTTACAAGACTGTGATGAGCATTTGCTTTGGTGCAGATCATTCCCCTGAGGCCGTAGGGAAATGGGCGAAGAAGTGCGGCATATTTCTTCATCCGGATGTCGCTTTTCTTGTTCCCACAAAGACAATGGGGTTTGGCGTATTTGCACGTAAACCGTTGAAAGCGGGCTCTGTCATTGTCAGTTGCCCATTTGCAAGGTGCATCTCTCCCTATGCGGAGAAGAATAGCGTTGAATCACCGTGCGTGAAGGCTCTTGCGGAAATGCACATCACAGACAATGTGCTCTTTGTTGTCTTGCGACTTATGGCCGAAGCCGTGCGTCCCTTGTCGCCGTGGATGCCGTGGCTGAGTGCCTGCCCACGCATGCCGAATCATTTCTTTGATGTTGCAGCAGTTGGGCCTGTGTTTGGTCTGGCACCGAGCGCTGATACTGGGAAGGCACCGACGGCAGGTGTACCCTTGACATGGACAGGAGTTTCACAGCAACTGCATGATCTGAATTTGGAGGGACGGTGGAGCGCGGCACAAGAGGTGATACGGCGTCATCCGGAACACTGGCCGGAGGAAAAAGCGACGTTTGAACTTTTTTGTGAGTGCTTGGCACAAGTGCTCTCACGCAACTTTTACCGCGAGGAGATTGAAGGGCGTGAGGGGCCTTACCTTATTCCTTGTCTGGACATCATTAATCATTCTTTTACGGCAAATGGAAAGTTTGAGGTGCGGGGAGGTGGTCGCAAGCATCCTATGGAATTTTGTGTTGTTGCGGCGCGTGAAATATGCCGTGGGGAACAGGTGTTTTGCTCTTATGGGCGAATTGGCGCGTCAAGGTTTGTGGTGGAGTTTCAATTTGTCACGGACTCCATTGTAAAGGAAGACATGCTGCGTTTTTCTGTGGATGTTATTGCGGAAATGACTTTGGCTCTCATCTCGCTTGAATCGGAATCACTTTCTTCTGCGGTGGACTTGGCAAATATCCAGCGACGCATAGAGTGGCTGCAACGTCTTGGAATTCTATTCGATGAGGGATTTTACGTCTCGCGGTTACCCTCGGCTGCTGCCGGGGGCGGTGATTTGCCTGCTTCGACCGCAAAGGAAATCCAAACATTATTTAACGTCTTTTACCTCTTGACTGTGGGGGCATCGACTTTTGAAAACTTAACCCGCTCGATCAACCGCGAGTGGCAGGTGGAGCGGAAAGGGGAGGTGGTGGCGCTGGTGCTGAGGCTGCTTGCAATGCGAGCGGAGGGTGCACGTGCACAGTTGGCCGCTGCGGAGGTGCACTTTGCAGAGGCACAGCACCATGCACGCAGAAAGATGCTGCAAATGTCGTTGAACTCCGAATTGGAGATGATTCAACTCCTGCAGAAGCACCTGGGCGAGCCTTGCTAACGTCCACGGTTGTGCTTTTTTTATTTTGCTGTCTGGTAAATGACCGGCTGCACGCGGACGTCACTCCAAGTAATACAAAGAAGAAAGGAATCTCTAATCATTCTTTTTTTTGTGTTTGTGTTTGTGTGTATTTTAAGGTGTTAATGCGATCTGAACGGGGATGAGATGAAGACGGATGTTTTACGCCATCGGTTTTTCCTTTCGTCTCCCCTTTCCTGTTTAGAGAAAAAGGGAGCTTTGCTTCAATGTGCCTGTTCTGCTGTTTTGTCCTCTTTTTTTTGTTTTTTTGTTTGGAATTTTTTTTTTCTGCCGTGTGTTTTTTCCCATTGATTTCTTCTTTTCATTTTGATTTTTTTTTTTGTGTGTGTGTGTGTTTGTGCGTATCTCTGCGTGAACGCCTGCCTTGGCTTCCCACCATTATTGAACAATAAAGGGAATAGTGTGTGGATTTTCCCGCATCCGTTTTGGGCCTCCGCGTGCGATTGAGACCGCCGAGAGCGGTGGTTTCATCCGCAACTCTCAACGCCGCCGTGAGGCTTTACTTTTGTTGTTCTTATTTGCGGTATTATCAAATTTATTTCTAGTATCTGTTCGTGCCTTTCAACTTCTAATGGGGAAGCTGAGCATTACGGTGCATGGCTGCCGTCTTTTGCACTCGCCTGGCCTTGCCGCAATAAATCCACGCATACGCATAGTTGTCGATGGGGTGTACAAATTTCATACCCGTAGTAAGAAGAACACACACACCCCAGATTTTGATGAAACGTTCACCGTGGGGAATACACATCGTCTTGCTATAGTTGAGGTGCAGACATACCATTGCCCCACGACAGGCAGCAGTGTTGAGGATGAATGCCTTCTTGGTAGTTGTCGCATTTCGATTGAGAGGCTGGTGGAGGGACAAAAAAAGTTGTTTCAGTATTTTTTGGCTGCAAAGGACGGCACGGGGTTAGCAGGAACAGTCACCATCACGTTGAAGACGGACATTCAAGGAGGTATAATGCCCTTTATAGACGATACGGATGAGAAGGAGTATGTAAAACGACTTGTGCGTCTTCTGCTGCGTTGCAATAAGGAACTTTTGGGGGACATTGACTTGCTGATGGCGTCTGTGAAGGGTCTGCCGATGCCACAGCGAGTAAGAACAAGTATGTCAAATTCTTCGTTGGAAGGAATCTCTCTTGAAAAATCGATTTCAGGCGATCGCTTTGTGACGTTTGAGGATTTGGTGGAAAGCTTATGCGCTAAGTATAACTGCAGAGAAGAACCCGGGTATACCCTCTCTCTGGTTGTTGAGGGTTGTACATGCCTTGAGCGGCCCACAATGTATCTTCCTTCAAATGTGGTTGTAGTGATCCGTGGTCCAATGCAGGACTTTGTGACGCCGCATCGGCCCTTTACCTCAAACCCGGTTTGGGGTACACCGACGGGCGCAACAAGTTTGGACATTGTAGATCCCTTCAATTTTGTCTTGGACATCATTTTGTATCAGGTTTCCGCAATGTCGAGGTGGGAAGAGCTCGCACGGGCACAGGTTTCTCTTTCGACTCTTACCCCCAATTATCTCTCGGCGAGACAGGTATTTCTGCTTGGGGAAAAATCTTTTTTTCAGCCATATATCAGGGGCATGGTCCATCTTACGTTGAGGCCGCATGGTTTTGGTGCAGTATCGCTGCAGCGGGCAGAACATGTGGATCGATTCCATGAGCGGCTGAATCGCTTCTTTTACCGGTATGACCAGCAACGAATCCCTCAGGTGGACCTTCTTCTCAGGTCCCGCTCGAATAATCTAGAGGAATTGATGAGTGAACTGGAAATTGAGTACGGTAGGGAACCAGGGACAATGGAGCTGTGGCTCTCTGTCTTGGAAGTGAGTTCATTGCAAAGTGACGCAAAATCAGATCTTGATGACAGCAATGTTGTTGTTGTGATTACGATGAGCGATCAGGTGGTACGCACAAGTCAAAAACGTGTGGTAGTAAACTCTCGCACTGAAATTGATGAAACCTTTGTTTTTGATGTCGCGCGGGAAACAGACATGATTAAATTGGAGGTGGTGCGGGCGGGTCAAGAGAGTATTGTGTATGGCCGTATAGATTTCTCATTTCGAATGATGCAGCGTGGGGTTCGTAACGACCGCACATTGCATTTGGTTGGGGCCGCTGGCACAAATGAGGCCTACCTGAGTGGTCTAATTAAAATTTCAATTTTTAGCGAGCAGTTAGGCCATGCGTATTCCATGGACGTTGAGGCAGCAAGCATGTATGCTGGGCGGCTTCGAAGGTACCTACATCTACGAGCCCCAGAGAAACTTCACCTTGTGGATATTGTTATTGACACGGTGTTTGACATTGAAGGTTTTTTGAGGGATCTCGCCAAAGAATATGGCCAAGAGGATGGCACGTACGGTGTGTATATTTCACTGTTAGGATGCCGTCAACTTCCCAGCCGCCTAGGGTTTAGCATGAACGCCTATGCCGTGGTGCGTATGGGGATCACGCGATATGAAACACGTGTAGTGAAGAACAGTACCGAGCCGGATTTTTTTGAAAATTTTGAGTTTTATGTAGATCGACCGCATGAGATGCAAATTACAATTTTTGTGATGGACCGATACGATCTTGGTGATGACAGGGAGGTGGGGCGTGTTGTTATTCCCCTCAACACGGTGCAGCTGGCGGAGCAGTGCCACCAATGGCTACCACTGGAGAAGCCGGATAAAGGCGGGGTTGCCGGACTTGTTGGTGTAAAGTACACGGTAAATGATCTCCACCTGCGCGACACGGGACACAGGGAAGGAGAGAAAAAACGGTTGGTGGAAGATCACTCGCGCGATCGTCCACGGCCGCAAAATCCATTGGCTTCATTAACGGACCGAAATCGACGACATGGGAATATTTTTTCCCGCATTGGTGGCTGGCGTAATAAATTGTTTCGTATGGCTGCACATAATTTGCCGCATGAGAGAACGATGAACGGTGGCTCCATGACGGGCAGTGATCTTAGCTCGGGACCGAGTAGCGATCACGAATTCTTCCCGCAACCACCACTGAACATCATAGACGAGAGTATTCATTCCATTGATGAATTCTGTTCCGTATCAAGGCCAGGGAGTTCGCCCATGCTTTTTTTGACGTCACCAAAAGAAGTAAAATCGTCGGCTGCAATCCCATCATATTTGCAGTTGCAACCACTGTTGCGTTATCAGAAGCGGCTGCATGTACGTGTATTGTATTGCGATTATCTTGACGACAAGAGGTGGATTCCGCCAAGTCCATACGTGATGCTTTCAACACTTGAAAAGACACAGTGCACAAAAGTTGCCTTTCTCACGCGGTCCCCAAAGTACAATGAGACACTTGTTTTCCCTATTAATGATCCGAACAACGACTATCTTAGTATCACTGTCATCACGGATACACCTTACGGGAAGAAATGTTTGGGTCACTGTGTACTTTCCCTGAAAAACATACAGAAAGGGACGCCACGAACACGACGCGTATCACTGGTTGTGTTGCCGCATCGGTCAGTGGCAATGGAAAGGGGCAACATTTGCCTAACACTTTTTGGGGAAAATTTTGGATTGGACTACATGCCCTCCGTCGACGCTGAGAATCGATTTAGCGGTTTCCTTCGTAAAATTCTTGCGAGTCAGATTCCGCAGCAGCTTCACCGCCTCGAGTGGTACATTGGCGAGTACTCGCTCAGGGAGAATGAGTTGTTGGAAAAAATATTTGCCTTGCGTGAAACAGGAGGTGAGGAGGAAGTGGCGGCAGACCTCAAGCTCAGAGTAAAGAGTGTAGCGCAGTTGTACCTGAATGGTCAACTTGTTGCCTCTGGCTTGTGCTTTGTGAAGGTGAGGGTTGGTCGCAGGACGCTTCATCGTACAAAATCTGTGCCGGGAGCGAATGGATGTTTTAACATTGATGAGGAATGTTCTCTCACCATTCCGCATCCAACGAAGCAGACGCTAAGAATAACGGTTCACGCCGATACCAAGGGAACTTTTAACTGCGGTGAGTGCGAGTTGTCTCTTTTGGACTTGCACCAAGATGTTGTGCAGGAAAGAACGCATTTTATCGTGAAAAATACCGGTCTTCCTTTAGCAACTCCGGTTGGTTACATCACAATTTCACTTCTTAGCAATAATTTTGGTAGTTTGGTCTCGCCAATGGATAGGAGTGACGAAAGTCAGTACGTGCGGCTGAGAAATTATTACTACTACTACCTTCGTGAACAATTACATTTGGTGGATGTTAAATACGGTGGTATATTTAATGTGGAAGCACATATCCAACGACTTACGGAGAAATATGGCCCTGAAGCCGGCAACTATCATCTTCATTTAGAGGTGGTTCGCTGTCAATCCTTTGTTTCGAGGGCTGTCGGTCTTTATTGTATTATTCAGTCTGGTCTCACGCAGTTTAGGACGAATGTTGTTCAGGGAGGTGGGGAGTATGTGTTTCTAGAGGCTTTTGATGTCCCTATTGGCTTACCAGAGAAGGAAGAGGTGCAACTTATTGTCATTGTTCTGGATGAGGGATCTGCGGTAGGGACGGAAATGGGGAGAACGGTCATTCCACTTCAGTACATTTTTCGTGGGAAAGAGACACGTCTCAAGCTTCCATTGGTGTATAAGGCGCAGACAAGCGTTGCCTCTTTGCATGGAGCCATTGAGGTTTTACTTTTTACCCGCGACTTTGGCGTTTCCGTGGATCAGCAACGGAGTTCCGAGGGGAGCAACGCCTACGAACGTGTAGAAGGAAGTATTTTGCCTTACCGTTCAGAAGGAGTGCATCGTCTATCTTCACTTTTTGTGATGGAACAGGCACAGAATGAAGGTTCACGGGAAGAAACACCGATAAACACACCTTTTCGCGCCTATTCACCGTCTTTCTCAGATATTCGCGTTCGGTTGTTGGGGCTTTCCGGGTTTCCAGAAGAAGAGGCTTATATTAAGGTCAGACTTAACGGTGGTAAGACACTTCTTCGAACGGGCAATCTTCAGGGCGAACGGTTGAAGTGTATTAATGAAGAATTTACCATTGATTCGTCCTTAAATATTCAGGATGTCATTATAACTTTGAAGTTGGCAGTAGTAAAGCTACGAAGGTCGTATGTGTTATGTTACTGTGACTTTACGATTCCGCAGTGCCCCTTAGGCGGGATGTCGAGGCGGTGTCTTCGCTTATTTGATTCAAAAGGAAAATTTTTTGGTAATTTGCGTATCGAGGTGGTGATGCCTGCTTCTGTTGTGCGGCGTTCTGTAGCGCGTGAAGTGTTAGATTTGAATCGGTTTGAATCCGTCGTGGATGATGTGTCATCCTTGCTGCTCAAGTATAGCCCAAAGGATCTTCGAAAATTGGATGTCATGCTAGGTCGCTGCGATGACATGCGTACGGTTCATCGTCAACTGCGGCAACAATTGGCTCCTCGGGTGCAGGCGACTGTGCACTGTATGGTGCACCGAACGGAGTTGCTGAGTCCCACGAAGGGACGTCTCATGGTGGAGACTGTCGTGAATGAGGATGTTGTGTGTGTCATGGAGCACAAGATTGCGGCTCATGGTGCTGTGGATGCAACCTCTGACACGTGTCGGGAGTTTAGTTACCCGCCCCTACGCATTGACATTACATCATGTGAAGCATTGCTTTTTCGTGTTATCGGCGAGGGTGGCGCTGAGGAGGGGGAGTTGTGCCGCGCTGTCTTATCCCTTCGCGCCCTGCTCACTCCAGAGCTGTACGATATGGGCGAAGCGATCACCGTGTCGCTTGTAAATGTAAAACGACAGCGAAACAGAGTACACGCAAGTTTGGCCGGTACACTCACCTTTTCTCTCAAAGTCCCTGCATTTGAACGTTATCCAAGGACGGTGCTTCTTTTTTGCCATTCCCCACCAAGGGTAAATCGCGATTTTGTGCGTTACTATCTTGATAGGATCTGTTCTCTTCTTAAGCATTATGATGCCAATTCACTGATGGATATCCACCATACCGTGTATGAGAAGTATGTGGCAAGGCGTGCATGGACAGTGGATTTGCCCAACCTTCTTTTTACATTGATCGAGCGGTGGGGACCTGAAGTGAGTTCATTCCCGCCGCCACCGCCTCCCACACTGCAGGATGCTCAATGATTGCCTTTTTTTTTTTTTTTTGTGTGTGTGTGTGACGTTTGTGTATTGTTTTCCACTAAAGATGATTTGTCTGGAAGAATGCTTCTTTATAAGTTATGATGCGCATGGAGGTGCACATATTGCCTTGAGGCCCAAAGTTTGCTCTGTTTTTTGTTTGCTTGTTTATTATTATTATTATTATTGTTGTTGTTGTTGTTGTGCGTTCCCTGTATATATATATATATATATTTATTTATTTATTTATATCCTTTTTTTTTTTTTTTTTTGACTTCTCTCCAAGATGATTTCTGCTCTTTATTTCTTGTATTTTTTCTTTGCACAAATGACCGACGCAAGGCAGAGGTAAATATTATTTGTGTGTCTGTGTGTGTTTATGTATGCAGGCATGTCAATACTCACTTGTCTACAAATGTTTTATTTATTTATTTATTCCCTTCCTTTCCCTTTTATTATTATTATTTTTTTTTCCCCTTCTTTCTCTGTATCTCACGCCCACAGCAGAGTGTAGTTACCGCGTCGACGAAACGCAACATCATTTTCATCAATCATTATAGAAGACACATAAAAAGGCAGCAGCAGCAGCAGCAGCAGCAGAAAAAATAACTTCAAAAAAAAAAAAAAAAAGGGAAAAGAGGGAAGGGGAGGTGTAAAAGACTTTGAGAGGTGAGAAGTTTCTTTCCGCTTGTTTGGATTTTTTTTTCACCGTGACGTGGGTTCGTTGCCGTTCCACGTTATTCCGACGGATAAATTAGAGGAATAAAAAGGGGAGGAAAGAAGAAAACAGGGCTGTGGGCCATCCACACATATATACACGCACACACATACTAAAAAAAAAAAAAAAAAGGAGGGGCAAAGAGAAGAGAAGAAAGTTTTTTTTTTTTTTTTGCTTTTCTTTTTTCCACAAGGCAGATGAACGGTAAAAGTAAATTTAAGGCTCATGACACTGAGAGTTCATCATTCTCATTGTTGCATGGCTCTGCGAGACGATCACGGCACTCGGAAAGATCCTTCCATTCGTCTCCCAGGCGGAACGGTGACTTCTCCAGCAGTCCATCGCCGCACCGTCGCCAACGTCCGAAAAATGGTCACTCTGGTCATGATCCCTTTCATTACAACGACACTTTGCCTCCAAATGCCGTGGGGCGATCAGTTCCGCCTGAAATGTTGTCTGAGGATGATGAATACCACACGCCTTATGCAGCCCCGTTGGATGCGGATGACAGCAACGCAAACAGCAAACAAAAGTTGGAATTGCGAGTGCGTATTGAGGGTGTGAAGGACCTGGTTCCTGACTCCCGCGCGATGCAAACCCCACCATCGACATTTGTCACGGTGCAAACAGCCTATGGTCGCGGGAAAACTCCTGTTATATACAACAATTCAAATCCACCTTTCAATGATGAGTTTATGTTTCAGGTGAACAACCCTGAAACAGAGGAAATTACAGTGACTGTGGTCGCCGTCACAAGTACGGGAGGGAAGAAGATAGGGCAATGTGCGTTGTCGGTTGGAAATCTCATGCAGAGAATGGAACGACGTCAGTGGGTAGCACTTGTGCGTCATCCTGGCACTGAACGAGCGTATGAGTGCGGTGAGATATTGATTTCCCTCTACTCGGAAAATTTTGGGACAGACGTTTATTCTTCACCGCTCAAGGAGAGGGAATTTCGTGAGAAACTCCGCGCGCTATTTGGAAAAGATGCTCCTCAAGAACTTCACCGACTTGAATGGTACGTGGGTAAATGTGTAGAAGACTATGATGGAGCCTATGCTGCGATATTTGACAGGTACCACAAGCCACATTGTGAATCTGCAGCGTTTCAACTCACCATTAACTCCGTGGCTGATCTGACAATGAAGAATGGATCTCCCACCACACGTGAGACGTGTTACGTAAAAGTTACTTCAAGTCGTTTTAAAAAAATTACGAAAATGGTGCCATACCACAGGCGAGCGGTTTTCAACGAAAAATTTGATATGGTGATTGACAATCCCAAGGCGGATTCCATTTCTCTTGCCGTCTACTCTGCTAACCACAAATATGGGGAATGTCTTGTGTCATTGAACGGCTTACAACCGCGTGTGCCAAAGGAACGGACACATAACATTGTCTACGCAGCGGGAACAGGGGATGCATGTTACTGCGGTACCATCAAAATTGTTCTTTGCACTGTTAATTACGGCACAGAATCACCTGTGAGTGATGCGGAAGACGAAAAGAGACGTATTCGTTTACGGAACTACCTGTGGAAGTATCTTCGTGACGATTTGCATCGCCTAGACCCCATCGTGGCATCCATCAGCCATATGAACTCTTTCATGGGGAAGTTGGTACGTGCGTATGGACCGGAGCCTCGACCATACATGATGATGCTTCGGATTCAAAATTTCCATCGTAACGAAAAAGAAGAAAAACCCAAGACTTATGCCGTTGTTGTTCGTATGGGTCCTGAAATTTACCGAACAGCCGGGGTGCGTTTCTCACAAGATTTTATTTTTAGCAATGAGACAACGTTTCCAGTGTACACGGCTGAGAAGGGTGAGCTTTTCTTTATGGTGGTTGATGAGGCAGATGCCAATGATGCCGAGGTTGGGCGAGTCGTTATTTCGCTTAGGGGTATAGTTCGGGAAAGTTTATTTCAACTCCAGCTGCCGGTCTATCAAGAAGCCCTAACGGCAGATGCCAAAGTGGTTGGTACACTTTCTATTGAAGGGATTGTTCATGGATATGGCTTGGTAAAAGAAGTTATTTCTCCAAATAAAAAAAAATATTTTTGCCAACGCGTGGAAGCACTTTTGTCCCACTATGATCCTTCACAATTACATCGTGTGGAATATCTTCTTGGTGAGTACGTGGGGCAGGAAGAGAGGCTTATTAAGGAACTTACAGACACACTCGGTCCAGAAACAGGTTCTGCTCCAATGCGGGTTCGCATCGTGAATATAAATGACTTTGCTCCCATGTGCTCTTGTTACGTTAAAGTTTACCTGGATGATGTCTTGGTGCTTCGCACAAAAGATCATCACGCCGCTAAATCTCTGGCTTTTGATATTGAAATGAAAAATGAGACGACCGTATCTATTGCAAATCCGCTGCACTCTACACTGAGGTTCAAAGTTTGTGAGCATCGACTATTTCGTGCATCTCGTCTGTTAGGGGTTGCTGAGATGAGCCTTCGTAATATGGTGCGAGATGAGCTCAATTTATGCTCACTTTCATTATTTGATGAGGGGACTCGGGAAGAGATTGGGGTGTTGGCAGTAGAGGTGCAGTCCCCGGGATTTGTGAAGGGAACCGTGACGATGTATGGTAAGCCACGCAATGGTAGTAAAGGGAGCGCGGTGGAGGAGGTTACAAGAGATGTCACATCATTGATGCGGAAATATCTTCCTCAGGAGGTTCCGCATGCACAACCCCTTATTTCAAAGGCCACATCCCTGAGGAATGCTCACCGGGAGTTACTGAAACGGTTTGCACCGGATCCGATTGATTTTACGTTTTATGTTCATATTGACAATGTTAATATGTTTCGGGCGGAGGACAAAGATGCAGTAGAAAAAGGCAACATATCCATTTCTGCTTCCTTCTTAAATGAAGAGATGCGATCTTACCTAAAGGTGAAATGGGAGGATCGAATTGATACATGCAAATACTTCCCGGAAATGCGCATGGACATTTCTTTTCTACGAGGCTCCGTATCCACACGACGTGTGCCCCCGCTCGAAATCGTTTTTTTCGAGAAATCTGCGCCAGCCGCCCAGGCATCCTCCGTTGTGTCCAAACGGAACACAATCTACAAGAGCCTTCTGTTGCCAGAAAGAGAGTTGGGTCGTATTCTTTTGTCTCTTCGAGCTCTTTTAACCAGACGAGTTTACCGACTTGGTGAGGCCTTTACGGTGCCCATTCTTCGTTCGGCTAGTCGCTCCGTTATGCCAGGTGGCCTTGGAGGCACGGTTTCTGAAGTCATCATGGGCGAAATAACATTACACGTCACAACGCCTGCCTTTGAACATATTCCACATCGGCTGCGATTTGCTCCAAAGAAGATGGAACATTATAATCGTGGATATGTTCGCCATTTCGAAAAACGTATTGCGGCATTTTATCGAGTCTACGACCCTTCCTCATTGCGTGAGTTGCATTTTACTTTGTACGAGCGCCATGTGGCGTCCGCCCGGTGGCCTCGCTCGCTGTATGACTGGTTGCTGATGCTCATTAAGCAACACGGCCCGGAGCCGATCAACGAATTTGGGCCTCCGCCAAAACTTTCATTCGACGACGACAGCGAGGAGGAGGACGAAGAGGAGGAGGAGGAGGAGGAGGAGGAGGAAAAACGGTCGCAGGAGAACGGCAGACATGCCACCGGCAAAATCACCAGACGGGAGGAGATGGTAAATTCTCTCCCATCGAGCCGTTTACAGTCACGTAGGCATCGCTTAAATCGTCCCAATACAAACTAAGCGTCAAAAGAGTGGAAAAGGGGAAAGAAAAAACCCACGCCAATAATTTGGAACGCAAATACGTACATGGGGCGCTGAAGGATTGCTGTAGGAGGTTTTCTCTTTCCCCAAAGAAAAGAAAAAAGAAGAAAAAGAAGTGACACGCAAATATACTTGAGGAATAAAGGAAAAAAGAAGGGAAAGACAAAAGGAAGAAAAAAAAAAAAGTCTGAAGACTGAAACTATAGATTATTCTTCAGTGACATACATGCATCCACGCCAATGTATATGCACGGTTGAGTAAAAGGATTATTTGGGGAAGCCATTCTTGTTTTTGTTTTTCCATCATTATTTTTATTCTCGCCTCTTTTGATTTAAGGCACGCATAGTAAAAGTGTTTTTATTATACAAGTATTCTCTTTTTGAAATGTGTGGGCTTTTTCCTCCCTTTATCGCAATGTGCATGCATGATACCAAGATGGCGATTGGGAAGGGGAAAGATATGAGTTCAAAAGTTTCATGTTTAGGAGCATTAAAATAAAAAAAAAAAATTTCTTTTTTTTCTTTCTTTTTTCCTTTTTTGCTTCTGTATTTTATTGCGCCCTGGTGGGGTTTATGTATGTATCTGCGTATGTAATTGTCTTACGGGGTGCTTGCCCTTTTTTATGTGTGTGACACGCGCAACGATTGACACCTTTTTTTTTTTTTTTTTTTTTTTTGAGGAACAAATATTAAGGAGAGGATGCATGGAATGAGCAAATGAGAGAGAGGGTATTGTGGCCCGACATGTGAGCAACAGCAAAGCGGAAAAAAAAAAAAAAAACGAGAGAGAAGAATAAATGATGGGGAGGCAATCTCCCTTATATTCAGTTTTTCATTGTTGATGTAATATTTGCACTTTATTTTGCCTTTAAGTGTTTGTCTTATTTACTGTTTTTTTGTTTTTTATATGCGTGTATATTATTATTGCTGTTTCTTCTTCCCTCCCTCCCCCTCTCCCTCGTTGTTCATTTTATGTTTTTTTTTTTTTTTTTTTTATGGCTGTTGCTTCTTTTTTCCCCCCATCAAACCCGCATCCAAACACGTCTCTCTTTTTCTGTTTGTTCCTCCTTTTGATGCGTCTTCCTTTTTGGTTTGGATTCTCTTACAAAGTGTTTATGTATTCTACTACAGGTGCTGAGCAGCGGGACTCGGAAAGCGTTGTGGGCAGTCCTGGCTGTGTTTTTTTCTTTTTTTCTTTTTTCTTTTTTTTCTTTCGCTTCTCTTCTGCTTTTATTCCTAAACGTTTTCTTTCTCTTTTTTCTCTCTTTTTATGCATGCCCGTTTTTCCTTCTTGACGCCAATGGGCATTTCTTTACGGCGGCGTTTGGTGGAGGGATGCCGCACGGGGCGAACGAGGAAATGGGCGCACGCCCAAGCAACTCGTACCCGCGTCTAAACCCAAAGCTCGTGACCCACAGGGAAGAAATTGTGAGCGCTGGCGAGGATGAGCCACAGCCAGCACCGTCTCCCGCCACACCGTCGCTGAAAAGAACAGCAAATCCTGCGAAAAAGCTGAGCGGGAAAAAGACATCAACTCATGTGGTTTCTGCACGGAAGATGGAGCGGCCGTCGGCTCGGAACGTCTCCGTGGGTTCTGCTAGTAACTCTAATTTGTTGCGCTCCAACTCACTTGCGCGGCCGTATGGTCATACCCACTCGGCGGTGAAGAACTCCACGGAGAAGAATATCCTTCCCGACGCGCGGCGTGAAGGGCCCGCAAAAATGGAGAGAGGAAGAAGCTTCGGTTCTTCTTCCGTTCCTCCGTCTGCATCAATTGCCATGAGAGGTTCCAGCAGCTTTCATGGCGGTATTGGACGCATGACACCGCACAGGTCAATCTCACACGGCAGACAGGAGTCCGGTCGAAGCACATCAGGGAAATTGATGAATATCCCAAGTTCACCACGCATAAGTTCAGCACGCGAAGCAAATAAATTTCCCACACCATCTTCAGCCCAGCGTAGGAAAAGCACTGACAGTGGAAAATTAGGGATTTTCTCCAGATCCAAAATTTCAGAGCATGCGTATGTTTTACAAGTTGTCGAGAAACTCGGCAACGCAAAAGTTGCCTATGATCATGTGCCACGCTGTGCGCAGGAAATCCCTGCACGCTACAGGCAACAATTGTCACAGTCACTGCCACCGCTAACGTCCGATAATTCAACCTCTTTACGCAACTCTGAGTTGAGGGGTAAGAGCTCGCCTCGTAAGACGACATGCAACACGCCGACTGTGTTGAAAAGTGGCGTGCCGAGTCGTTCCTTTCCGACTAGCGGCGTGTCTCGCAACCAGATGGCCAGTAATGAACATGGTGGCGTTGACGCCCAAAGGACCTCTGAAGTGTTGGATAGGAAACCCTCATTGATTACAGCCGCTTCTCCTCCGGGCAGCCGCGATGTGTTGGCACAAGGGAAAAAGAAAAACTCTTTGGGCGCCATGAGTCTCTCATCGCAGGGTAAAGGAAGGAATTTGGTTCAAAAAACAAGGGAAAAAACAATGCAACGCAAATCAGTTATTGGACTTGAACGGATGCTGCTGTTCGATACTGAGCCACCGCGGTTATTTGCATAGGAACGCAGTTTTTGGACCGTGGATTTTCCTTTGAGGGGATGATACATGCAAATAACGGCGGGTGTTTTTCAAGAATGTCATTTATTGAGCTTTGCGTAGAAGCATTCCAGAAACAAAACCGATTTGTTTTTGGCTGAAAATTTATTATCATTATTTAGGGTTTCTTGTGCTTTTCCTTTTTTTTTTTTTTTTTTTCTTTTCTTTTCGGTAAAGTTGACTTTCAGTTACACGTAGGTTAGATCAGTTTAAATAAATTGAGGGCACTAGAGGTGCCGTCTCGCCAGATGTGGAGCGGTCTCAAGTTGGAGCGCCTCCTTTACACATTTCCGGAGACAACAACCCCCACGGGCTGGTCCCAATCAGACCCGCTCCTGTCTTCTCCGCTTGGAGAAGCCGACGCTAATGAAGGGGATTCTTCTGCCGTTTTTGGCGAGGATGTTAATGTAGAGCACCGTCATTTCAATAATGGGGAGCGTAGAAGAAAATTGGCGCTGCGGCCTTTCACTGTTCCTGCCTCCGCCATGGCAGAAGAAGGTGGGGAGGAGGGATCACACGTTCATTTAGGTTTCTCCTTCCCCGGGGAAGGAAAGTTTGATGAAGAACCGGAGGCCGTCCTCTGGTGCCCGCAAGGCAATTGTCAGTGGCTCAATGAGGAAAGCGATTGCAGCCAACGCAGCGCAATGAGTTGTCCAGCACGACCGACAAAGACGACCATTCAGCTTGGCGATCCCGGTGCACCAATCAAGAAAAATCGTGAGAGAAAATACATTTGCAACGATGCAGATGAGAACTCCAACAGCCGCGTAGGACCGGCGTTGTACCACCAACTTGAGTTTTTCCAAGAGAGCAACAGCGTTTCGTTCCCATGTGAATCTTCTGCTCTCTCTCATATTACGCCTCTTGATGAGACCGGGGAGTCCGTTGACCTCGCCAATCATATGTCGCACTTGACTGTGGCCGTGTCCCCAATACAGAAGAGGCTTCTTTTTACAGGAGTACTAGACGACGCGGTCGATGCTCCTTCTGGGAGGGATGTTGGTGATGATAAAGGTGTCGGTAGTGGGTTGCAGTCGCTTCGTCGGGAAAAGCGGTTTCTGGAGGAAATGGATACGAACCGCGATGCCGCCAACTCAAACTCGATGGCATGTACAATGCCGCGTGAACCCCACCGAAAGTTTCGGCGCATAGACGCAGGCGAGAATGATAGAAAGAGCCTTGACAACCACTTTCATAGTCGTCGTTAGAAAGAGCATTGATGGCGAAATGGTGTGCATGTGTAATTTTTTTTTGTCTATGAGTACTTGAGAGCAGGTGACATTGATCACAAGAGAGAAGGTCTTGCGTGGCCAAATGACGAAACGGGAAGGGAAAAAAGGATACACGCCGAGTTTTTTTTTTTTTTTTGCTTTGCTTTTTTTGTGATGAATCATTTTACGCGTACACATCTTTTTTTTTTTTTAGGTTAGATGCACTCATTAGATGGTTGAATGCACATGTACATGTATTTACGTGTTTTTTTTTTGTTTTTTTTGTAGTTCTCTCACGAAGCTTTCCCATTATTATTATTATTATTATTGTCGTTATTATCATTAACATTAAATTTTTTACTCCCACTGTTATCGTTGTTGGTGTTAATTCTCCTCACGGCTGTGGTAATGCAACATCAACACGCTAGGCATGAACTGAGGTTTGTGACTCTTGCTGCCTATTGGTGTGTTTTAAAACGCTGCCATTTAAGCTTTTGTTTGTTTGTTTTTATGTGTGAAGCCGTTGAGGAGACGGGGTATGCACCACCCCCTTGTTTTTTTTTTTTTTTTTTTTTTACTTGCTCGTTCATCTGTGCACTGTGATTTACCGATGCAACTATTTTTTTCGCGTGCGAAACTGTGGGGATTTTTATTTATTTATTTATTTTCTTGGGTCATTTGCGGTGAAACTGGAGGAGAGGATAACACGTGGCAGCAAAAAGAACGCTAAAAGAACACCGTTGGCGCCAGCATCAACAACAACAAAAAGCACCAGAGAACAGGGAGTAAAGACAGAGAACAACAAAAACAAAAAAGGCAAGAATTCGAAAAAGAGAGAGGGAAGGAAGCGATGAAAACGGCCGTGAATACCAATAGAAGCACACACGACCCCGTCAGCACGTATTTTCTTCAGAAAATTCAGGAGTTGCGTGCGCAGGAAAAACGTTTGCTTGACAATTATCTTCGTTTAGAGTCGCAGCGGAATGAACTCAACAGACGGGTGCGCCAACTCAAGGAGGAAGTGCAAATGCTGCAAGAGAGCGGCTCCACCGTGGCGGACGTTGTGCAGGTGCTTGGTAAAAACAAAGTACTTGTGAACGTCAGCTCCAATCAGGGAAAATTGATTGTTGATGTGGAAAAAACAATTGACGTCGCCGAGCTCACGCGCAACACGCGTGTGGCACTACGGAACGCAACCTACGCCATTCATTACATTCTACCGACCAAAGTTGACCCCCTTGTGTCACTCATGAAGGTTGAAAAGGCGGGCAGCGACTCCACGTATGATGAGATTGGTGGACTTTCTCGCCAAGTAAAGGAGATTAAGGAAGTTATTGAGTTGCCTGTAAAACATCCCGAGCTTTTTGAGGCATTGGGCATTGCTCAGCCAAAAGGGGTGTTGCTTTATGGCCCACCAGGCACAGGCAAGACTCTCCTTGCCCGAGCCGTGGCCCATCACACAGACTGCACCTTCATTCGGGTAAGCGGGGCAGAGCTGGTGCAAAAGTACATTGGCGAGGGCGCTCGACTTGTTCGTGAACTATTTGTCATGGCGCGTGAACACAGTCCGTCTATTATTTTTATGGATGAGATCGATTCCATTGGTTCATCTCGTCTGGAAAACACTGGCCGCGGTGGCGATAGTGAGGTGCAGCGCACCATGCTTGAGCTTCTTAATCAGCTTGACGGCTTTGAGTCGACACAGTCCATCAAGGTGATTATGGCCACGAACCGCATTGACATTTTGGATGAGGCGTTGCTGCGTCCGGGTCGTATTGACCGCAAGATTGAGTTTCCCGCGCCTGACGAGGCGGCCCGCCTTGAAATTTTGAAGATTCACTCGCGAAAAATGAACTTGACGCGCGGGATTAATCTGAAGAGTGTCGCGGAGAAGACAAATCACTGCTCCGGCGCGGAGCTCAAGGCCGTTTGCACCGAGGCTGGGATGTTTGCCCTGCGGGAACGCCGTGTGCACATCACGCAGGAAGACTTTGAGCTCGCCGTGGCTAAGATTATGCACAAGGATCAAGACAAAAATGTTTCTTTGAAGATGATGTGGAAATGATGAGGCGTCGAAAGGATTGGAAGCCATGAAGAAAGCAATTAAGCGGTGGAAGAAGGAAAACGAAAAGGAAATCAAAAGAGGGAGCAGGGGCCCTATTCTTTTCACCCTTGCTCGCCTATTTGCCACTCTTTTCCCCCGATCAACAGTACGTTATAGACGCTCTTTTGTGTTGTTCCCTCCACTTATGTGTGCGTGTGTGTATATGAGTTGACTCTGGCATTCTGCCTGAGTGGAAAAGATTAGTGGAATAGCACAAGCTTTTTTGGACGTGGCAAACCAGGCAAGGAGTGAATGGGTTGGGGGAACAGAAGGTGTGCGAACAATGAGGGCGGACAGAGCATCGGATGTGGAGTGCCCACGAAAAATGAAGTGATATATATATATATTTATGTGCCGGATGTGATTATGCTCTGTGTGTTGGTTATGTTAAATGTATTGTTATTTATTATCTTGTAAGAAGGGGGAGAAAAGAAAAAATGAAAATGAAAATGTTGTCATTTTTTTTTTTGTTTTGGAGGAATTTTCGAAAAATTCACTTTTTAATTATTATTTTTTTTTTCCTTCTGCTCTCTCCCAGATCCTTCGGAAGTAATAGTTCTTCTGCTTGCAGTACGACCCCGAGGAACACTCCCGCCCTTTCCCCCCCCCCCTTCCCACACATAAACACACACATAGCAGCATCTCTCTATCTATCTATATATATATATATATTGCTATCCAACCAACAACAATTTCCCAGTATCGGTGCGTAAAGTAAAAGCAGGCGGCAGAAGACAAGCTTGCAGGCAAAAAAATTACAAGCCCATTTCTTCCACCCCGAAAAATTTAAAAACGAATCGTTTCTGTGCCATGAATTCAGCGGAAGTGTCCGTCAGACTAGCATCGCGTGATGATTCAGCCACACTCGTTGGGGAGCTAAAGAGTTCACTTTTAGTTTTTAAGCGTGGCAAATCCGAGGATGCATTCCAAAGGTTGCTTATGGCGTTGAATAGAATTTGCGTTGCCTTCTGCTTTGGTGACGAGGAGTTTATTCGACGGCTTGATGTTGAACGCTACGCGTCGGTGTTGGTATCGACACTTAGAAGCGTTTCTCGAAATGAATTTTCTAGGTTGCGTTCCGTCACGGTACAGGCTCTTGCACTACTGGCCGATCTTGTACCACGTGGTGGTTTGGCGATAGCAGCGGCAAAAGGTATTCGACCGTTGTTTTGTATTATGAAGGATGTGAAGCTTCAAGGCAATGAAACGTTTTTGGAGGAGTTGCTGAAATGTATTAGTCATGTCTCGGCGGAAGCAAAAGCATCCCTGGTGCGTGAATACGCCGTTTCTTTCATCACAGTCCTAGAGGCTCGGGTGGAAACACATCATCTGCGTATGTTGTGCTTGAAGTGTTTGTGTCATCTTCTTGGGGCAGCGCGGTTGAAGGATTGGAACAAATATTTCTTAGTCCCTTGCAACAGTCTTGTAGTGCGGTTTAACCAACAGGTAAAGAGAGTGTTTGGGGAGAGCAAAGATCAACCTTTGGAGCGGTTGTCAAAGGAAAATGAAGCGTACATGCTGCGTCTTACTGAGTGCGTTGCACTTATTTATGATCGCATACTACGCACAAGAGAGCTCATCTTGAAAAATGGTAGTATTCTGGAAAATTCTTTGCCGGCGTTTGTTAATATGTTGGTACGAACTGCTTCCATGGGTACACAGGGGTCAACATTTCGAGATGCTGTCTGTTCACCCTTGCTGACGCTTTTCTTTGCCGATCCCCCTATATCTTTAAGGATGTTTCTTAAATATCACGTGTTACAATCCATCTGTGGAGTTTTGGCTACGGTGCTGGAAAGAACGACGAAACGAATTTCTTACAGCGGTGTAGCCTTTGCCGAGGCATTTCTATCGAATGATGTCAGTGCAATTCCCTTTATGGCAGAGGAAAAGCAAATCATTCATTTGTTGGAGTTTTTTCTGGTAATCTTCCCAACTGCTTTGGTGGCCCGTGAAAGTGACTATTATGTTACATTACCACACTTTGTTTGGCAATGCGAAGATGACTTTCATAACAGAACTGACTGTACTGATAGTTTGAGCAAGCAGATGGAAGGGGAATACAAAAGACAACGCAGACTTTCAGCTTTTAAACCATATGAAGTATGTCATGCTTCCCGCACACTCAAAATTGACTTTGATAACATGCAATACATGAGCAATGAATTATCTTCTTACCCACATAGCCTTGGTCGTCATGCATTTCTCTCCGGTTATGTTCACAGTCGAGTCATGTACTGCACTTGTGGGGACAAGTTACTTTTGGATGCAACAGATGAGAAATTCATTCCAAAGCAACATGGAGACTACTCAAGTGAGTCACCCAAATGGACGTACCGGCATCAAGACAATCCTCTGGTGGCAAGCTCGACGGAGGGAAGTAGGGCGGTCAATGAAGACATATTTTCTACTATAACAGCAAGAAGTACGGATGCTGCTTACAGTCATAGAATCGCCCATACTGGTGGTTTACGGGAGGCTGCTATCAATAGGCGTTTAGTGGATGGAAATGAATGTGGTTCGTGGTGTGCCTACATCGCAGGACTTGTGCGGCAAGGGGAGCGACAAACTGGGAGGCAGAGGTCAGGGAATAAAACGGTTCAGAGAAAAGATTTACTTTTATGTGATTTTTTTCGTAATTCTCGTGAAGGGATTTTAAATTACTCCATTATTCGCCTACATTTTCTACATGATTCCATGATTCAACTGATATTGTCGTGGTGTCTTCCAGTTTTGACGACTATGGTCAGAAAAACGGTTAGTCCCATTATAGCGCGTCACTGCTCCATCTTGATACTTCGGTGTGTGGATCTTTCGGTAGAGTTTTTCCGTGATGACGGTAACCGTTTCCGCCCAAAGGTCATGGAGGAACTGCGTCAGAGGTTTAACATAGTATGCTCCCAACTGGGACCGGTTTTGTCATACTTGGCTACAGCAAATACGAATCACACGATTACAGCATTTGTGCAGCCTTTTAAAGAATTTCAATATGATCATTCATTTTTGCAAGCCCTGATGGCGGTTGGTTTGAAGCCCAACAGTCGGCTGCCGGCCATGACTTTACGGTGTGAAATACAAATGAGTGCGTTAAGTTCAGTGTTAATTTTACAGCATGCGTCTCGCTCCACAATGTCTATATTTAATGGTAACCAGAAACTTATCCTCTGTCGAATGCTTGAAAATCTAACGGTTCGTTTGAGTCGACATCAGGGAGTCCTTCGGAGTTCAATTTATGGTGGTACGGGGATCATTCTGTGTCCTTTTCATGTGACCGCCGAAAAGATTGAAGAAGTACATGCGAAACTTATTGAGCAGGCCATTTTAGTTATTTCTCTAGACTTGGGGAAGGTTTATAAAGGGCATGGGGGTACATTTTTGAGCAGTCCATTCAAATTGACTTCAACAAGTTCCAGTTCGAATCGGGATCATACAAATTCTTCTGTGACGAAGACGGCGATTCTCGTGGCGCCCAAAAAGTTCAACATCCCGGAGAGTTGTATTATTTCTGACATTATGGTTCGTGCAAACATGTACTCGGATCTTCCCACAGGGGTTCAAAAGGTGTTTGCTATTCATGAGTACATGTTGGAATGTGAAACTAATCTTTCTTCTCTTGTGTATGGACATCCGGAATTTTTGGAGGAACTTGCAGGCGAACTACAGAATTCTACGATTGAGCCTGCGTTGAATAAGGAGCTGGCGGAAGCATTTTCGCATGTTAGAAAGGGACTTCTTTCTGTGATCAATAAGAACATAGGGCTTGTGAATGCTGAGGATGCACCTCCTATTGAGCGTCAGTCGGTAAGACCAGCACGTCGTCTTCGACGTAACAAAATTACATTGGCGATGGCGAACCACATATGGACACCCCTACGGGTGAAATTGGAGTCCTTGGATTTCACTGAGACTGATGAACACTCACCTTCCTCTGTGGGAATTATAATTATTGCTGATGAAAGGTACACCGTTTTGGATCTTTCTTTGGAAAGAGAAACGGTTAGTATTCTTCCAACAATGCCGTTGAGTCATCTGGCCAAGCACATAGTTCTTCAGTTGAATCAAAAATATATGGATGCGGGGAAATGTAAAGCAGGGGTGCGATTGGGGCGAAGGCACACCGCACCAGATGCTATGGAGGTGCAAAGTTTATATTCTACGAATAGTCTTTTTTTACCTAAACTGGAGAGGGTGGAGGGCGATTTAGGGCAGTCATTTTTGTCTCGTTCCTATTCAATCTTGGATCCACACGTTGCGAACGAACCAGAGAGTGCCGAATCCTCCTTTTCAAATGGGTCACTGGTATCGTGGGAGAATAATTATGGGAGTGAACGGCGTCATAGCGCGGCATCGGTAAGGGTACAAAGTACCTACGATCGGGAGGAGTCTGCTGAAGGATTTTCCATTGAGAGGCAAACTTTACCGGACCCGAATGACGACACGTCATGGAACATTTTACCAAGTAACATTGTATTTTTTTACAATGGTAAGCCAGTGGTGGATTTATCAGTTTCTCTATTAGAACTCTTTTGGGATTCTGCGACGGTGTTGGCAAGTGGAAGGGTCGCCACCACGGAGAAGGAAAAAGCCGGTGAGCAGTTAGCAGCCACAGGGATACAGCGCATGCTTGCAATGTGGTTAACGACACAGACCATTCATTATCTCGTTGTGAAGGAACCCTTTATGCAAAGTCTTGATGGTGTAACGGAGGATAGGGCATATGGTACCAGAATCAGCTCACCGAAGAAAGTTTTCACACATTTGTTAAGTAGTTCGGAAACGCAATCCTCTTTGAAGGTGGCAGCGAAACTGTTAAATGAAATGCGGCGGGTTTTGCTATCAGTTAAAGCCACTCTGGGTTCTTCCGAAGGAAGACTTTGTAGTGCTCTCATTTATGGATTCCACAATCATATTGGTATTTTTATGTTACCGTCGGTCGTCTGGCTTCCTCTCTTATGCTCATCGCTGAACGAGCAGCAGGATCAACACCTTGCCAGTTACATTCTGTGGAACTATCCGCAGATATTTAGTTTGGACGTTCGACGAGCGCTAATTCAACTTATTTTTTCAGTACGTCGTGTCCCGATTGTGATGCTGGCCAAATTGAAAGAGTCAGCGCGTCTAACAGGGTACGTGGCCCCAGTACATGGTTTGGAATGGGTCACGCCGGATGTGGATATGCGTTCCACAAAGAAGGTGATAGTACAGCGGGATAATCTTTTGGAAAGTGGCTCGAATGTGTTACGTACTCACGCCATGTGTCCTTTACCGTTGAGTGTGGAGTTTGAAAATGAAAATGGTGTCGGCGCAGGGCCTGCCGTGGAGTTTTACAACTTATTCTCCGCTCAGCTTCAGGAACAACGGCTAAACATGTGGCGAACTGAAGAATTTACAGATTCATCTGGGGCTTTGACAAAGCGTGTGCAACTTCCTTTGTTTCCTGCGGTGTGTCAGACGGCGAAATCTTTGTCCTATTTTGAACTCTTGGGTTTACTGGTGGGGCGGGTGCTGCTGGAGGGACGTGTAGTCGACCTTCCTCTTCATCACTGCTTTATTCAAGGAATACTTGGCAATCTTGAGAAAAACCGACTGCGTGACATTGATCCAGAGTTGGATTGCCACCTTTCCCGACTAAGTTCTCTTTCTGAAGAGGAGCTTATTGCTTGTGATTTGACGTTTGTTTTGCCACGCCCGGATGCGGCAACGGCGGGGGAGGAGATTGAACTTACTCCCAATGGATCCATGAAACGTGTTACTGGAGTCAATGTTTCTGAGTACGTCACGGCGGTTCGGCAATATTACTGTAGGACCGTCCTTACTGGACCTCTCATGCACTTTAGACAAGGACTACGCTATGCGATGATTCCATCCTATCTCGAACTGTTCAGTGTGGAGGAGTTACAGTTGCTCATCTCTGGCCCAGATGGTAAGATTTGGGAGCGGCCGGAGGATCTCGAGCGAATCATCATCTTGTCCCATGGCTACGACAAGGATTCCCCTGTTGTGAACTTTCTCCTGGAGGTGGTGAGCAGCTGGGATGCCCCACTGCAGCGTGCCTTTTTGCGTTTTGTAACTGGCTCCTCCCGTCTTCCCCTTGGTGGGATGCGGCCACCCATAACTGTTGTGCGCCGTACACTTGGGGTGACAGAGGAGGAAGGGGGAAATGCGTCTTTTTCGGCCGCTCCATTCTTTGGGGAGGAAAGTAGAAAAATGCAGCTTCTCATGGATGCGTCGCTGCCGACAGTGAACACCTGCGCACATTACCTCAAATTGCCAAGCTACAGCAGCAAAGCCCTGTTGGAGGAGAAATTGCGGACCGCTGTGACAGAGGGACAGGAAAGCTTTTTACTGACGTAACAACAAAAAACACACGAACGTGCGTGAAAAAAATTATATATTTAAAAAAAAAAAAAAAAAAAAACCGTCAAACGAAATAAGTAATATATATAAATATATAGACAAAAATATAAAGTAAATGAGAGGCTGAGGAATGCCAGAAGACAAGTAAAAAAAGAAAAAAAGAAAAAAAGTGAGACGTAAAATGATCCGATGAGGAAAATATATAGTCACCCAAGAGAGAGAGAGAAAAAAAAAAAAAAACCAACGAAGCAGAGCGAGACAGTACGCCCGGCTGCATACGATTATTTAGGTCAAAAAAAAAAAAAAATATCGGTGAATTATGCAAAAATTTCATTTTTTTTTTTTTCTTTTTCGTGTGTGTATATGTATGTATGTAAGTGAGTGGGTGAGTGTGTGTGTGTGGTAATTCTTATGTGTCAATGCGTATTTGCATGTATCTTTGTGTGCTTCTTTGCTTTTTGGTTGGAGAATCAACCAAAGAAGAATATTGGTATCAAAATGATCACTTTTCTCTTCTTGCCTTCTTTTTTTTTTTTTTTCTTTTCATTTTTTTTTTTTTTTAGGGGGTTTGGTGGTTTTGACGTCTAGCTTTACCCCACTTCTTCCTTGTTGTTGTTGTTGTTGTTTTGTGGGGGTGGAGTGGGGGGTTGTGCTATCAATTATAACGATTTCTATAATTAATCCTATCATTACTGTTATTACTATTAATATTCCGGATTCATTTTGCCTTTTATATATATAAGCTATCTTCTTTTTGTGTATTGCTCTTTTTTTTTTTTTTTTTTTTTTACTGTAGTCATGCGACAAAAGCTAGTGAGGGTGCTTTGGGGGAGAGTTAAAGGAAAAAGTGAGGTGGAGGAAAGGAGGGAGGGCATTCTTTCTAACTTTCTCTTTTTGTGGGGTGCTTCTCCATCGTTTTTTTTTTTTTTTTTTTTTTTTTTTCCTTTTTTCCTTTGCCCCCTTTTTTTTTGTTTGTCTGTTTGTACGATGTCTGAGAGCCGACTTGTGTGAAGTACTTTGGGGCTGCAGTGATGGAAGGTGTCAGGGGAACTCTGCCGTCGGCCAGTGTGCTTTTTTTTTTTTCTTCTTTTTATGCACAAGCCGAGCAACAAATTACTTTTTTTTTTTCTTGTTTTTGTTCTTTTTCCTGCCAGTTTTGCCCCTCTCCCTCCCCTTTTTTTTTTTTTTTTTTTTTTACAGACCAGCCCTCATGCGTGTCCTCTTGTTATATAACACACGCATAATACACATACGCGTATATATATGTATGTATGTATATGTATGTATATTATGTCATGTATATATATGGCTGTGATAAATGTGTATTGCGACGCGTATTATTCGCGTCGGCTTTTCGTGGGGGCTGGCAACGTTGCGTCGTAATGAAAAGTGGGGTACACTGCGATCCAACATGCCTCTGGTGGACGCGCCCTGTCCTCCGCTTTTTTGGCTCCACCAATTCCTGCAATGTGAGTCCGTGTGTGTTTGTACTTTTTTTTTTTTTTTTTTTCTTTTCTTTTCCTGCGGAGTTGTTGTTGCGTCTTTTTTTGCAGGTGTTGGGCGCGGAAAACACTACGCGGGTTCCCATTAATTACAGAAAAAAAAAACAAGAGAATACACACGAAAGAAGTGAGAATCAAAGACATCTGGTCGAACTAAAAGAAAAAAAAAAAAAGAAAAGAAAAAACGGTAAAAAAAATATTTAATAAAACGAAGGCATGTTAGGCGCACGACGTAATATCATGGCCAGAAAAACTGTTTCAGCAGCTGTAAGAACAACGGCGCTGCACGTGAAGGCCCCAATGGTGGCGTTATTTTTTTCGAATCGTTGTTGCAGTGTCAACCCAGCCGTCCCCAAGACGGGAGGGTCAGACGCCGCAGAAGTCGCGGCGAAAAGGAAGGCAAGACCTGCTTTGCAGAACGATCACGACCAGTCCCATGGGAGTTCCCTGTACATGCCTTTCATGGGATCATCATCACGCTTCACATTTGCCTCCCCCATCACGACGATAAGCGATATAAACGCGTTAGAAGGCGAACGATTAACTCATTCCCCACCTCAACGTTTTAGTGACCACTGTTGTATTTATCTTGTGAAACTTCTTCGGTGGTGCGCGGACAAACTTTTCCGCGAACGTTATCTTCACCGTGCTACCATGTTGAAGGTCATTGCCCCCGCGCCGCCGCTGGCTGGTGCCATGATAAGCCATCTTCGAATGATACTTAAAAAGGAGAATCCAGCGTATATCCCTGGGAAAGGGGATTTTGCAACAGAGACACGTGGACTTTTGGCGCAGGCGGAATCACATGCATCTCATATTCGAATTCTTATGTTGTTGACCGAGATTACATATGTGGAGCGCGTTGCAGCAGTGTTTTTGCAGGCGATACATTTTGCAATTTTTGCCTTTCTTTTCTTGCTGTCTCCGCGGGTGGCTTTTCGTCTTATGGGGTATCTTGGGGAAGAGTCGGTGGTGATTTGGACTCACATGATCAATGACATTGACTTTGGAAAGGTCACTGAACGAGCGTTACCGCAAGATGCCATTGAGTACTGGGGCCTACACAAGTTAAAATACACAAGGGCCTCCGCGGCGGATGTGAAGAGGTTTGATGTACGTGAAAATTGTGATGAAGAGGCCACGACAGGAAAGCATCAGCAGACATCAGACGTACCAGAGGAGGAAGAAATCACATTGCGTGATTTAATTCTGTTGTTGCGTTCAGATGAAATGGTATGGCGTGAGGCATGCCACCGAATGGCAGACGAAATGAATCTAATTCGTAAGTCGTCTTTTATGTCTTCATTCCTATCGTAAAATTGTTTTCTCTTTACAGGTCACTCAGATTTATGACTAAAGAGCTCTCAATTTTTTCTTTTTTTTGTCTCCGCCTTTGCTGCTTTTGTGGCTTTGAGTCTCTCAAGAGACATTTGCTGCGGTGGTGTGCCCGCCTCCGGGGCCAGTGCCTTTTTCTCGTTCTTTTGTTGGTGTTGTTTTGTTCTAGAGACCTGTGGAAAGAATGTGGGCAATGATGAGGCATTGTCCATGATTTCCTTGAAGTGGGGAGCTTTCATGCTGTGTTTTTCTTGGATTTTTTTCTGGTGGGTTTGGAATAAGGCGTGATGGAGCCTGCGGAAGGTGATACATATATATTTTTTTCCCCCTATTTGGCCTATCCAAACCTTTTTTTTTTTTTTTTAGGGGTGGGGGGCCAAAGAGGATTTCCGTTCGTAAGTGACACACGGATATAAGGCTTGCAATTTATTTATACGGTGTGTTTGTTTGTGTCTGGGATAAGTCGATCTTTGTTGCATTGGCCGGCTTCTGTCAATCGCTTTTGTTGATGTTGATCTTTTTTTATTTCTATTGTTATTATTATTATTTTTTGATTTCCCTTTTTTTGAGCAGCAACCGTCGAAGAACATATTTTTTTCCTGAACACGGCGGCTGGTGCTCTCGCCGGGGGGTTCTTGTCGGGGGCGCGGGAGAGAGGTTCTTTGTTGTCGTTTGTGTCTCGGGGTGTCTTTGGGCCGCAGCACACCATCACTTCTGGGTTTTTCTCTCACACAGCTTTACAGCCCTCTGTTGGAGGAGGCAGGCAGTGCGAAAAAACAAACAAACAAACCACGGAAAGGCGACAGAGAGGGGGAGGGAAGAAGGAACAGCAATTAATTATGGCCACGCATCTGTGGGCGAATTTTGTGACTTCTTTGGAGTCCCGAGATGTTTCCTTTCAGCAGGTGCAGCATGCAACCGATCGGCGTGCTGTTATTCTCGAGGCTGGCTTCAATGACCCTATCACTATTGCCGTCTTGGAGACGGAGTGGATGAAGCGCTGCAAAACAAGTGGCCCTTCCTCTACTGCAAAGGAAGCTGTGGGAGTTCCAGCCACTGTCGCGGCTCCCCCCGCACCGTTATGTGCTCAGTTTGCGGATTATACGAAACTGGAGGACGTGCCAGAGGAGATCCAGGACCGTGTTGTAGCAGCAGATGTGCTTGCCGCGGTTATCGGCTATGGTGGCTCACTTCTTCAGGCTTCGCGAGACGGTTTTATTGTTTCGCGTTACGTACCCGTTTCTATGCGTAGCTTGTGCAAGACTATAGTCCCCGTTGCGGATTCTTTTGTTGCTCTCCGCAAGGTGGAACGGGCAGAGTACATGGGCAAAAGTTTAGTGGCAATGGCTCTCGGGGAGGTCGTCTCGGAAATCTGCACCAGCTTTGCCCATGAGATTGCAAACTTGCAGCGTTGGGCACAGGGCAGGGCGATGCCGCTTATGGGCGTCGTTTCTGAGGTACTGCGAGCAGGGCATCACATTGTGCGATTGCGTCAAGTACTGCCCACCGACACCATAATGGACGAGGAAGGGACCCTTTCAATGGTAGGATGGCGACTATTAAACCACATCCATGAACAATCTGAGAAGTATTCGGGGAGTAGAGAAGATGATGAGTTACTTCTTTTGCTGCTTCGTCGGGCATCGGTGCCTTATCTGCGGTTATTGCACCGATGGATGCATGAGGGATTGTTAGAGGATCCGTACGGTGAATTTTTTATCTCAGAGGCCCGACCGCCGGCTGGCAAGGCATCGGTATCGGCAACATTGAATGAAAATACAACAACCGGTATGAGGAATGTGGTAAGTCGCATTTTTCCCAACACCGCCGCCGCGGATGATTACGGCGAGGCGACATTAGAGGAGGCAAACGCGTTTGAGCGGCGATTTTCCATGAATAAAAACATGATTCCGAATTTCCTTTTGAAAACCTCCAAGATTGCGAAGATGGTCTTTTACGCCGGAAAGTATTGTTGTCTGTTGCGCGAGTACAACGGGACGCTTCCTGCGTTTGGGGATTTGGCAGAGCACATGCTTGTCTGGACGGATGCCGACAAGCTGCACCGAAAAATTGAGGAATCATACGAAATTGCCAGCGGCGAGGTGCTGCAACTTTTCCTGGGACCCCAAGTTGACCTCCTCGGTCACCTCATCTCACTGAAGTGTTACTTTCTCCACCAGCGTGGTGATTGGCTGGTTGACTTTCTTGACAGCTCGGAGGAACTCCTTGTAAAATCACCGGTACACGTGAAGGCACACTCAGTGCGTGTTTTACTTCAGGCAGCGATTGCCCGATGTTGCGAGACGGATCCGTATCACAGCACCATTGGTTGCAGCTTTTCTGATGGTACAATTGAACAGTACGTCAACGGTTCTTTTGAGCCTGCGACAGACGAAGCAGCTCCTCGCGGCTCGTGTGGTAGAAAAAGTGCTATGCGAATAGAAACACATCGTTGCATTGAGCTGCTTCAGCTAGAGGCCGATCTCAAATGGCCCCTCACAATGGTTCTGGACTCTGTTGTTTTGAGACGCTTGAATGGTATATTCCGTCTCTTTACATGGTTGAAAATATGCGAACGTAACCTTACCACGGCATGGACGGATGTGGACGTCCCCCATCAGCCTCCCCAAGCTTATGGTATCAAACATCAGCTCATTCAGTTTATCCGTCAGTATCAGTTCTACGCCGCACACTTTGTTGTGGAGCCGCTATGGGGTCGCATGATGGGTCGTATAGGGCAGGCAGACAGCGTTTTTGCCGTAAACAATGCTCTGCAGGACTTTTTTGAGGGGGTTGAACTTGGTCTTGTGCTTGCCAGCTCCCAACGTTTTAGAAGCCTGTCGCGCATTTTGGAAATTGCAACCAGTTTTAGTGAGATGGGTCGACGAGAGTTCTCGATGCGCCTGCGAGCGGAGGAGTTGGGGGAAGCATTGCAAAGCACAGAAGAGAGGTTTTTGAAGGCTCTTTCCGAACTTGCTTCGCCGGTAGGCCCTGACTACCCACAACTCATTCCACTGTTGACATGGATCGACTTTAGCGGATTTTACAACCGCAATGGTGTGTACCGAGTTCTCTACTCTGCTGGAATATCGACAGAAACAGTAACCTCCGCAGGTGCAGATAGACGTCGACATTAAAAGGAACTTTTATACGCTGTAATGCACATGAATACATAGTCCGAATGGAGGTGAGTAATTGTTATATATTTTTGTATGTATCTCTCTCTCTCTGTGTGTGTGTGTGTGTGAGTTTTATGGCGAGGACTTTCTCTGTATTCTTCGCATTTGTGTATCTATATATGTACGGGGGTCCATGTTTCAATTATTGGCGATTCCTGTACGGGTTTATATATATATATATATATATATATATATATATATATATTCTGTGAATATAAACGCTTATTAGGATAGATTGGAGAGGAGCATTAAAAAGGGGGGAGAGAAACAAGAAGGAATAGGAAGCAAATGGGGAATCTAGTGGCCAGGCTGAGGGAACTTTTCTCGAGCGAGAGGAAGCTTGAGATGTGTCTTGTTGGCCTGGAAAACAGTGGCAAGACGACACTGTTGAATGTGCTGTCGGTGGGGCACCCGATTGAGACGTTTCCCACCGTAGGGCTTAATGTGAAGATGGTGCGGAAGCAGGGGGTGCAGCTGAAAGTGTGGGACCTTGGCGGACAGGAGCGGTTCCGCAGCGAGTGGGGACGCTACACGCAGGGCTGCGATTGCATAATCTATTGCGTGGACTCAAGTGACTTCCAGCGCACCGAACTTGCGAAGCGCGAGCTCCACAAACTTTTGGAGGACAAGGCGCTGCATGGCCTTCCCATGCTGGTGTGCCTAAACAAGATTGACTTGGAGCCTCACATGAGTAAAGAGGAGTGCGTGGAGTTTCTGAACCTGCAGGTCCTTCGCGATAATCCATGGCTTGTTATTCCTATATCCGCACTGCGCCAAATTAACATCAACGAGGTTGTGGATTGGCTGGTGAAGAATTCTCATAGTTGATCCACGTAGTGAAATTTGCTCAGTGCTTTTTATCATCACTATCGTAGCAACGTTTCCTTTGATTTTTTATTTTTTATTTTATTTCTGCGCTCATATGCATCGTGTAAGGCAGCCCGAAGAGCCTGTATAGAGACGCAGCCATTGCGTGAAGCAGAGAAAGAAGAACGGCGGCGAAGGCATAAAGGGAGAGAATGAGAACGAACACAGTTTATTGTGAGGAATTAGCAGAGGAACGCAAAAATCAAAAAAAAAAAAAAAAAGAAGGGGCGGGGGGGGGGAAAAAATGGAAAAAAAGGAGCAACAATGAAGCGATATATTTCATTGAGAGGATGTTGAGTTTTTTTTTTTTTCTATTGTTTGTTTCTGTGCAATTTATTTTTATTGTTGTTACTTTTTTTTTAAATTGTAATGTTGTGTCATGTGCTTCTCCCTTTTTTTTATCTTTTTTTTTTTTTTTGTCTTACTTTCTCTATCATTCATTCACCACCCGCTTAATTGTATGTGGGCGTTTATGCGGGGGAACATATGGGTGTCACCTTTTTTCTCCTTCTAACCGTTTTTCCTTGCGGGCGAGGTGCTGCATAAATCCTCTCTCCTCTCCTTTCTTACTTTATTATTTGTTTATTTATTATTATTTGTCTTTACGGCATTTATGATGCCTTATATACATATTTTTCTCTTTTAATCTTGTCCTTTATTTTTGGGATATATATATTACCGCAGGTACGTGCGGAGCGGAGAGAGGTGCGACGTGCACGAGGGAAAACAAATAAATAAATTACACGACATGTCGCTGAAGAAGAGGACATTTAAGCAGCGCGCCCACAGGAACGAGATGAAGGAGAGACACCACGTCTCCTCCGAGCTGCGTAAGCGCATGCGCGCGGCAAAGCGCCGGCACAATCGATTTGACAACATTGACACGGGATCACGGCCCCTGGAGGCGCTCATGGAGGAAATTGCGGAGGGATCTGCGGCACCCACCCGGGAGGTGACGTTTGATCCACGCAGCCTCACCGATCTTCTTCTGCGTTCAGTCGCCGAGGGCGAGAAGGGTAGCAACAAGCGGCTCGTACTTCCAGAGACGCCTCTTCCGGAAAATCATCCGCTCAGCCTTCCAATGGTGCAAAACGACAGGAAGGATGTTGAAAAGGCCGGTACGAACAGTTCCATTAATACCAACAAGAATCAATACCGGCATCACGGGGATCCTTATCTCTTTTGGGAACGCGTGGGTCTGCATCCTTTGCTGCTAAAGGCCCTGAAGACCATGCGGTTTGCACATCCGACGCCCGTACAAGAAGAGGTTCTACCCAGTGTACTTTATCAGGGCATTGGTGAGGCAACGGCTACGGGCACTGCGGCATCCAAGAAGGGTGGTAAAAAGCATCGTGGGTCTGGACAGGACGTCATCATTTCGGCAGAAACAGGAAGTGGGAAAACGCTGGCATTTGCGTTGCCTATACTGCAACAAATTCTCTCCCAAATACCCGCTAATGATTACTCAATCCCAGGGGAGGCGGAATGCGATGAAGCTGAAAAGGAAAGGGAAAAATGGAAGAAGAGCAAAAAGCCCATCAACAAAATAGTACCAAGAGGCAAAAAAGCTTGTTTTACTAAGGAGGAACTTAGGATTAACGACAACAATAAAGAAGACGATAAGAAGAAATGCAGTAGCATGAGAAGAAAGAGGCCGCGGGACGAAAACGAGGGGAATGAAGGGGAAGCGTACTCTTCCACGACGCCAAACACGGTTCCTGCAGAACGGCTGATGCATGCTCTTATTGTATCCCCCACTCGTGAACTGGCACTCCAGATTAACGAGGCCTTTCTTCAGCTAACTCAGCATGCACGGCATGTGGTTATTGGTTGTGTAGTTGGCGGCATGGCCCCGGAGAAGCAACAGCGCGTGCTGAATCGACACCCACATGTGTTGATATGCACGCCTGGTCGTCTTTGGGAGCTTGTCCAAAAGAACGAGGGTTGCTATCTTGGTCACAGTATTAGCCGCCGTCTTTCATTTGTGGTGCTTGATGAGGCGGACAAACTTCTTCAATCTGGTCGTTTTCAGGAGCTGAAAAATTTATTGGAACGTATTCACTGTGAGGTGTTGCCTGCAGGGTTTGTGCAGGAGCGTGAGGAGGGGGCTGAGGCAGAAGAAATGGAACTGGAAGCGGGTCGCTGGGATGAGGAAACACAGAAATTTGTACCATTTCCCAAAAAGAAAAAGGCGGACGGCAAATTGGCGGGGGAATCACATGAAGAACAACAGCGGCAGCGTCGGCGGAAAGACGCTCCACGTCTTATTCCAATGCCCTCTCGTCCCCCAGAGGGTCACCGCACCATCACATTTGTCACAAGCGCCACACTGTCACTTCAGACGAAATATGAACGGAAGGATCTTCGGTCCAAGAAGACGGTCATCCGCACCTCCAATGCTAACACCATGGCGGCGGTTCTTCAGCAACTGGAGATTAAGACCTCAAATGCTAAGGTGTTCACCATTTCACCAAAGGCTGATGTGAGCGCGAAGATAGAAGAAACATACCTGCGTTGCCCAGGCGATAGTAAAGATCTCTATTTGTACTACTTTCTCAAGATGTATCACGAGCGTACAATTGTGTTTGTGAATGCTATATCTATGCTTCGTCGTCTCGTGAAATTGCTGGAAGTGCTTGGTATTCCAGTGGCAGGCCTGCATGCCTCTCTTCAGCAGCGACAGCGTTTAAAGTTTATTGACAAGTTTAGAAAGGGGGAAAAACGTGTACTAGTGGCCACAGATATTGCCTCTCGGGGTTTGGATGTTGATGGACTAAAACATGTTGTCCACTTTCAGGTCCCCCGCTCGACGGATGTGTACATTCATCGTTGTGGTCGCACGGCACGTTGTGGTGGCACTGGGCTTTCGGTTGTAATGATTGACGCACAGGAGCACGTCTCGTTTCAAAAACTGATGGATTCTCTTGGACGAGGATCAAAAGAAATGGAGGTGTTTGCACTCCAGCCAACTATTGTGCATCAACTTCATTCGCACATAAAAGTGGCGTTGCAGATTGATAAATTACAGAAGGAGATTGACAAATCGAGAGCACGGAATAATTGGGCACGTCGTATGAGCCGTGAGGCGGATATAGAGGTGGATGACATGGTTGACGACGAGGCGGACAATGAGAATCGCGCCAAGGAGAAGGCCATCAAGGTACTAAAGAAGCGGTTGGAACTACTTGTCAAGAAGGAAATGGGCACAGCCGGTGGCAGGGGTGGGTTTCGAGCCAGTGCACACGCTCTTGGAGCAAAAGAGGCGGAATCGAAACTGGTGGAACGTGCCATGAGGCAAACCACACAAGCGAAAAATAATAAAAAGCCGAGGCGTCGAGTCAGTGCATGAGAGGAAACATGGATGCTAATGCGTGCGTACACGTTTGCAAACTCGATGGCAACGTTATCATTGCTGGCGTCTTTGCATTAGGTGGAGGGGAAGAAAAACTTGTCCGATGTCCATTTCGGCTAAAACGAGAAAGGAAGCCATAAGGAGAGAAAAGTATAAAAAGTAAAAAGAAAAAAAATCTTTTGGTCTAAAATATTTGTAATAGTTTTTCTCTGTGGAGTAAAAATTACTCTTCATTTTTTTTTGTTCTTGTGAGGCGTGCTTTTTTTTTTTTTTTTTTTTTTGTTTTGTTTTGTTTTGAACCCGCTTTTGTCTCCATTGACTACTGTGTGTTTTTCTTTTTTTTCTTTTTTTTTTTTCTCTTGGTTTTTTCTCGCTCTGTGTGTGGGTCATGTGGCTGAAAGCCTCCTCTGGTGTCGCAGCACCGCCGAGAGGTGCGCATTCACCCAGCCGTTCTTTTGTTTATTCCTGCCATGCGGGAGAAGACAACATCGGCAGCAACCCCCATGCGATGTCGCAAGGAATTGGCCGCGACGTTGACGCGCACGCGAAACTCGCCACGGACTCCCGTGACGTTTGAATTGGCAACGGAACGTGGTCTTCACAATTTTTCGCGCCGCGGCCCGCGGGTGCGTGCGAAGTCTTCCATTGCCGTTCATGCCGCCACGGCGTCGCCCCTGTCGCTCTTGGAACAGACGCTTTGGACAGAAATAGAGCAACTCAACGCGGCCACCAACCGCCTACGGGAGCGAATTCTTGAGGTGAAACGCGAGTTTTCTGCAGACGCCATTGCGGCTGTTACAGGAGGGGAGCCACTTCCTGTAGAAGCTCGAACAGGTGGCTTATTTCGGAATCCGCCGAAGCAACGGGGGCAAAATTCAAAGGATGAACCGCCCTATGCCGTGACTTTTACTCCCAGCCATTCTCAAAAAAAGGCCGCCAACGTGCGGCTGCAATTTACTTCACCACGTAAGACTCCAATGAAGGAGAATGACAGCAGTGTGTTGACGTCGTTGGCGATGTTTGAGTACACCCCACAGAATGATGATCACCGTGAAGGTGCTCGCCCGACGGAAAATAGAAATGTTTTGCAGGAATTGAAGCGTGATGAAACTTTTGAGACGGGTACTCCCGTTCATCTTTCTGAGGCGGCTACGATGGGCGGACCATTTGTTGTTGATCTACAGAAATCTGATCACGGTGCCGCAAATAACACGGCTGAAAAACCAACGGAATTATCAACGAGTGTGGATTCGGCTCGAGAATCCGCCAAACATTTGCTTCTGCAAGCAAACATGATGGGCGTGGAACAGGACCTGAATCACTACATGTCTGACCTTCTCGCTATCCAGCGTGATACCCTTGACGCCCAAAAGCGCGGCCTGATAGATCCAAATGATTCATCTGTTCGTGAATTGCGCCTCGGCATACGAGATGAACTCAACGCGTGTCGTGCGCGCATATTGACCCTTGAATCTCTCCAGACCTCATTGTCTGCTGGGGTTGCTACAAAGAAAACCATTTCTTGATATTATTGTGCTTCTGTGCATTTTAAGTTTCAGCTTTTATTTTTTGGAGGGGAGGCCTTATTTGGCGAACAATTCTTGTGCCATGTATGGGTAAGAATTTTGGGCCCATCGATACAAACACATGCACAAATGCTTGGAGGCCCAGAGTCGAACGAATGAAGAGCAGCAAAAAGAAAAATAAATGGATTCTCTTTTTTTTTTTTTTTTAAGATTTATTTATTTATCACCAACGATTTTTTTTTTTATTGTTGTTTTATGCGTGTGTGTTTATGAAGGGTAGTGATTGACTGTTGGTCTGAGGAGACACAACACTGGGACTATTCAGTGTGTAATTTATCCACCTACGCCCAATGCATTCTGGAATTAGGGGTCCGTTGATGTCCTTTCTAATAACGAGAAGGCATGCTGGGATTTGGGTTAATTTTTATCTTCCTCAGCGACCGCAACTGTGGCAATTGCGTGCCGTGTATTGTACGCCGATAGCGCGGTTTGACATGAAGAAGTACGAGATGGAGAGGCGGCGGCGTCGTGAATTAGAAAAGGCCGGCATTGACGTGGACGAAGAAAATGATGAGCCGTGGATCGCACCAGAGGAGCAGCAGCGGTTGGATGAAGAAGAAGAACGCCGTCGCGCAGATGAGGCAGAACGCGTGAAGGAGATGTTGAATCGCCGGGCGCAAGAGGACATTGAGAAGCGCAAGAAGTTTAAGGAGTTTCGCGCCCGGCAACTTGCGATGAGTCGGAGGCGTAAGGAGGCCAATGCCGCGGCAAAGAGGCATGAACGACGAGACCAGCGTCTTGTGGAGGAGGAAGAAGAAGAGTTGGATGAGACAGGGGCGAGTGACGCCAATGCATCGGATGTGGATCCAAAGAAGTAGGGCGTTCACGCGCAGTGAATTTTGGAGTTAGCTGCCTTTTTTCTTTCCATTTCTTTTTCTTTTCTGAAAAGAAGATGCGGACGGCGGGAAGGAGAGAAAGAGAGAGAGAGAGAGAGCGACTGTGTACATGTTTTTACATCTGTATTGATGTGTTTGCTGGAGGCGTTTTTTAAAAAATTTCCTCGTGGTGTTCCTTTTTGAATCCGCTTGGTGTGTCACGGCAATTGACCCTCTGCTCCTTTTACTCTCTCTGCGCGCTGCTCACATTGTTTAAACTCTTTCTGTGCATTTGCTTCTGTTTACATCTCTTGTGATGCTTTTTTGCTTTTATTTTGCCACAACACTGTGATACAAGGAGGGGGAAAAACGAGGAAGAAAAGGCTTTAGGGAGAAAATTGTTTTGTTTTTTTTTCTTCTTTTTTTTCCTGTGCGTTCACAATACCAGAAGAAGAGAGAACATGGTGGCGGTTCGTGCAAAGGTCGGTTCCCGCGGCTTCGTCCGCCAGAAGCAACTGGCGAAGGGAAAGAAGGTGTTCAAGATTGACTGCACCATTCCCGCCAATGACGGCATCTTCAGCGAGGAGATTCTTGGCAACTTTGAGCAGTACTTCCAGGAGAATGTGAAGTTGAATGGCCGCAAGGGGAAGCTGACGGAGAAGGTACGCGTTGGCCTGCGCAACAATGTTCTCACGATTACGACGACGATGGCCTACCGCAAGAAGTACTTCAAGTACCTCACGAAGAAGTTTCTCAAGAAGAAGGATCTCCGTGACTGGATCCGCATCCTCGCCAGGGGGAAGGACACCTACCAGCTGAAGTACTTCAACATCCAGGATCAGGAGGAGGCGTAGGCATCCAAAGGCTCATTAGCAACGGGTCCAATGTTGGTATGGTCTTACGTCACCTTTTGCTTCCCTGTTTTGTCTCTTTTCTTCACCTGCGGAGAGAGAAATCAGGGAAATGATGTCATTCTTTCCCTCTTTTTTTCTTTCTTCTTTGTCCCGCTCTGAACTTTTTTTTTGTTTTTTCAATTTTATCTGCGTTTCTCTTGCAAGATGTGAGTGGAACTGCCGGCGTTTTTTTTTTTTTCTGTTTTCATGTTCTGGTCTACTTACTCTGGCAGACAGCACTGTCGTCCTTGCGATTTTTTTTTTTGTCTTCTCTTTCTTCTTTATCTTCTTTACTTTGCACAAACATGTGTACACGCACCTTTTTTTTTTTTTCTTCCCAGTGTCATCTCTTGCCTAAAGAAGCGACGATGTATCTCTGGGGTCACAATTCCCTCACGTTGAAGGATTCAGCAGACCCGTCGTTGGAGATGGGGCCGGACACGGAGGGCGAGGAGGTTCTGTTGATTAACGCCCGCCCCTACACGCTGACCGGTGTTTCTGCGGAAAAGGGCGGGCTATCGCAAGGCTTTATTGATATAAAAAAAAATGAGGATCTTCAGAAGGCAGGGGTTCCGCCGTTCCGTGTCATGGAACTGGATGTCTTGAGGTATTCGGCAGATCAAAACCATGACGATTGGGTTAGTCTGGCGGCTCTCATACGGGAAAACTATCATAAATACCGCGGCTTTGTGATTAACAACGGGAAAGACAATATGGTGGCCACCGCAACGGCTCTCAGCTTTATGCTGGAGAACTTGGGGAGACCTGTCATTTTTACCGGCTCTTGTATTCCACCAGAGCGTTTGTACACAGACCTCTATCGTAATTTGATTGTCGCCCTGCTCTTTGCAAGCTGCAGCCAGATCAATGAGGTCTGCATTTTGTTTGAAGAGCGACTGTTTCGGGCCAATAGAACAATTCAATTTTCCAGATCAGCAATTTCACCGTTTGACTCACCGCATTTTCCACCACTGGCGACAATTCATGGAAAAATGAGTATACACCGGACATTTCTTCGGCCATATCCGCATGGTCAGTTTCGTGTAATGGATAATATGAGAGCTGTTGTCTTGTGTTTGAAATTGGGGCCATCGATGCGGAGAAGGGTTTTATTAAGGTCGGTTGAGTTAACCGAGGCACGTGCTATTGTTATCATCGCATACGGTGGGGGAAATGCGCCAACACGTGGGGGTTACATGAAGGAGATTGTGAGGAAAGCTGTGGAGCGTGACATTGCCGTTTGTGTTTGCACGCAGAACTTGTACGGTTCCGTGGACTTGGGAACATATGCCGCAGGGGATCAATTGCTGGAGGTGGGAGCGGTATCGTCACGTGACATGACCATTGAGGCCACCATCATGAAACTCAAGTACCTCATAGGGGTTGGTCTCTCCACAAAGGAAATCAAACGATTCTTTGGTGATGTTAGTCTGCGTGGTGAACTCACTCCACCTACGTCCCAATTGTAATTTGCGTCAAGAGTGGAGGGAAAAGAGGAACCGCAGTCTTTTTTGCTGTTGTTCAAATAAAAGTACACGGCAAGAAGTATATATATATATATGAGGCAATAGTTTTTGGTTCACTACGGCGGTGAGACAACTGGGGACAATAAAACCAGGTGGACGAGAAGTTTCCCTGATATCTGGAGGACCCAAGTAGAGGAGAAAGAAAACCTCTGATGGACGCATTAAAATTTTCTTTTTCTTTTTTTTTGTGTGTGTGAGCCTGTGAAAAAGATGCTCGCTATAAAACTGGCCACACAATTTAATATTTATTTTCTGTTCTATGATCCTTTGGAAGGCCGCGATGGGAGGAACTAGGGAACCGACTGCGGTAAGACGCATACTTTTATTATTATCATTATTAATTAATTATTTTTTATTTTGGCTGTCCCATCCCGCCAGTCCTTTTTTGGATCTTTACCTCACGAAGGGTTTTTTGTGGCTGGAGGACTTCAAAGTTGGCCAATCCTTAATTAATTAATACATCCAATTCGAATAGAATGCAGCAAGTCACAATAGTGGCCGTCCAAATACACATGCATGTATGGAACAAAAAATTTTAGGGTATGACGAGTCCACTGCCTCTTCATTACCCCCTTTTTTCCCCCGTTCTATTGTGTTTATTTAAATAATTTCAGAATTCTTCCGGCAGCTCAGGCGAATGTTCTTTTTGTTGTTGTTTTAATAAAAGTGCGTGCGGTGATCCCACTGTTAAATGGCTTGGAGTCCTCTACCAGGCCTGTGTAAGCATTCTTTTTTTTTTTTTTTTTTGTTTCTTTGCTTATTATTATTATTATTATTATTAAACTTGGACGGCATTTTGAATTGCTCTAAAAACATGTGAATAGCGACGGGCGGGCGAGGCGCGTTCTATATGTTTTGCGGCTGTTTTTCCTGCTTTTTTTTTTCTTCTTGTTTTTGCCTTCTTTCCATTTCTCTGTGTTGAGGCGGGGGACGGGAGAAGTCTGTTTGCACTGAGAGGGCGACCAAAAAGGAATGAGTGCCAATGAGGCATCGCAACCAAATTTAAAGAATAAGGAGACAAAAGCGGTAAGTGACATACTTCTGGCATGCACTGTCTGCGGAACGTCTAATGTGCTTCCAGCCAGCAGCGCCAACGTGTTAAAGGGGACAAATATGACGACGTTTTGCAAAACATGCGGTGGCGCAACAATTCAGCGAGTGGTAGTCTCATATTTATTGGGAGACCCTTCCAAAGACTCGGTGGATGTATTGGCGGCGCCGGGAAAAAGCAGCGCTGATTCTTATTCTCAAGCCTCTGAAATAGACATGGACGAAATTATTTGGAGGCGGCTGCAGGATGCATTAGTCAACAGCGGCGTGAGTATGGCAGAATTTTTCCGTTGTGATACATCCACACGAGCACGTCTCATTTCTGCGGTGGGATTTAATAGCGCTGAGATACCACGACTTTTGGAGTTTGCAGATGCCAATGCCACGAGGAGTATGTTAAGTAACGTGATGGAACGGATGCAAAATCCTTTCGAAACGACGGCAGCAGCGACATTAAGAATAGGAGCCGTAGCAGGGGAGCAAGCAATCAACCCCGGACCTATGAAGGAGGCAAAGAATAGAGCATCTGCGGAATTCCCTCGAAATTCCGCTCAAGATGAACGGACCTTTGTAAACACCCCACATCACTCAGCACAAATAGATGGTTCGATGCTGAGTCTAAAGATACAGGAGGATGGCACACTCATCGCCCGTTGCTCGGTATATCCCCACCTACCCGCGGAATTCTGGTGTTCCCTTTGTGGTGTATTGGTTTCAAGTCGTTGCCACGTGTCAGGGATTCATAAGGATCATCCCTTTATTACCCTGCGACAGGCTGCAGAGGCACATGTACGTGATCTCAGCACATGGTCAGAACGTTGTCGAAATCAGCTGAACGTCGCCAATACCATTATTTCAAATCTTCAGCATGGAAGGGATGTTTTGAATGATTCGGCTAAACACGAGGAGGAGGCATTGGACAGGCACTTTGAGGAGATTGTTCAAGGACTTACTCAATGGTGTCAGGGACTCAAATCGAGTATGCGGTTGCAGATTGATGCCCAGCTAGAAAATATTAATGTGGCAATAAAAAGAACCAACAAAGTTATAGAATATTACGCTGAGCGACTGAAGAGATGTGATCCCTTATTACAGTCCATACCACCCATGCATCAGGTAGACAAGAAGTCGGAGGATTGGTCCCTGCGTGTGATGGATCTTGTGAGTCAACTCAAGACGGCAAGTCAAGAGCCAATCCCCATGCCACGGATTACCGTGCCCGAAGTGAAATCTTTTGCGACTGTGACAACTTACATGGAGTTATTGAAAGCAGTAAGTGTTCCCGCGGGTATTCGTATACCGGATGTTTTGGATACAGGGTATCTGAATTTTCCCACCCCTTCTGTTTTGGGACGAGAGACATTTACACTTGACGTTCCCAAGGATGCCAAGACGCGCGGTATTCTTATCTACAGTGGTCGTACTCTGACGAGATCGCAGGACATTACACCCACCCCACTCACTTGTGTGTGCGTCACAAATCTTTTATACGGGGATCACTGCATGGGAAGTTCACGTGGACCGTCTTGGCGCTGGACCGGGTCGAATCCTTGCAGGTGTGCTTATGGCAGGAACGGATGGTGAAGGAGTTGTGTGGGATGGTCAACGCATTGTGGGGCCTAACGAGGGAGAGTGTCGCGCACTTTCAGAGCGCTATAGGATAAAAACAGGCACAACGCTTCGATTTGTCCTCGAACTTGAGGCTCCGTCGTATTTTCTTGTTTGTTACTACGAGGATGAGGTTGTGGCTCGTGTCCCGCTGCCACCAGCACTTAATGGTTGGATCCCCGCTTTCAGTGTATTTGGACCGCAGGATCAACTGACAGTGGTGCCCATTTCCGCAGCGGTGGCAGAGAATCTGCTGACCGATGCCAAGCCTGAGGAGAAAAAAAAGAGGGAGGAGGAAATGAAGGTGCGTCTTGGTGAGCAGGAACAGCGGCTAAACGCATTGCACCAACAGCTACTCGCGGTGAACTCGCGTATTGATCAGGATCAGTATGAGAAACTCAATCACGCTTTGCATGCACGACAAGAAATAAGAGGTGACGGAAGTAACGACAAGGGCGATGCAGATCCGTCGATACTGTCGTCACCCTTTTTTTGGCAGGTGTCGCCGCAGGTACCTGGCGACGGGTATCAATCCGCGAACAATAAGCACAGATTGGAGTCTATGCATGGTGCAGGCGCAGCGACAGCAACAGGGGAATTGACATCCCCGTCGCCTCTCCTGGCGCCGAATGTGGATTCTGGGCAGCGCAATGAGAAAAATAAAAGAAATGCGAGCTACAGCCCGGAGCTGCAGAATCTACTCAACTTTGTGGACTCTATTAAGTAATTTGACAAGAGTGGCACACACGCACCATAAAAAAAAAAAAAAAGGAGAGAGAGAGAGAGAAAGAAAGAGGGAAGGAAAAACAAGGAAGCAATTCATAGAGCAAAAACAATTATCGTCTTTTTTTTGTTTTGTTTTTTTCTTTGCCTACGTCGGGGCTGCCGGAAACGAGGCAGCGTCGAAAGAACATTAAAAGCGTCTAGAGAAATGAGGGAACCGGGAAGAGAAGGAAAGAGAGAGGGAAAAATGGCAGTCGAAAATGAGATGTGGCGGGAATGAAAGGCACCGATGAATATATTTGGCACAATCATTCTGTACGTGTCTCTTAACGTTTTTTTTTTTTTTTCTACTTCTTACTGCTGCGGCTGTGGGTGCTCCTTGACTTCTTTTATCCCCCTCTCTCTCTCTCTCCACGTGGGTTGTGAAGGATAAGAAGTGAGTGAGGAGCATAGCGAAGAACAAATAAAAAAAAAAAAAAAAAAAGAGAAAGAGAAAGAGAGACAGTGAGAGAGACCGAGTGCGTGCGAGTGTGTGGCCAACGGAATGGGGGGCGGGAGCAGCAAGCCTGAATTGAAGGTTGGGGAGAAGGGCGCAATCGCGTCCGTTGCGGCACCACCCCCACCAGAAAAAACATTGTCGTCTGGAACGAAGAAAAGTGACGAGTTTGCCAAATACCGCGAGTTTCGCGACCAGCTGCTGAGTTTTTCACTTGGGGAGAGTGCGTTTGACTACGCAGAACGACTCTTTGAGAAGAATCCCTCCAGTCCGGAGGTGATGGCTCTTCTCGCGGAAACCACCGTCTTGTATGACAAGAGCAAAAACAAGGTATTCCGCGATCACTGGTGCGATCGACTAGATCTCCTGCAGCGCGGCGTTGATGTGAGTCGCAAATGCATCAATGAAAACCCGGATTATGGCCCGTGCTATCGCACATACGTATTGTGTGCCACGCGTGAATCAGAGGCACTTTACTTTATTAAAAGTTTTCTTGGTCTGGGACTGTTGGAAAACTACAATGCCATTATGAAACGCGGTGAAAAGGGAATGGAGTTGCTTCCCAGTGATTCCGACATCCCTAATGCTCTTGGATCGCTCTGTGGTCGCTGTGCATATAGGTGGTACAGTCCCACACGTCCCTATGGCATATGGTGCGGGGTACCGGGTTGGAAAGAAATGTGGGCGAAGAGCATTGAGTTTCATAAAAAGGCGGTAGAAAATGAACCGAAGAACTTGGAGTATGCGTGCCGACTTGCACAGGCGTATTATCAAAGCGGGGATCTTCAGAATGCACGTAGGTGGTACGCCAAGGTTCGGGATGAAATGCCGCCAGAGGATTTGAAAGACGAACGTTGGCAATCACTAGCGCACACAGAGCTGTCCACTGCCTTTGCCAAAACCAGCTGGAACGTTCCATTTGCGTAGAAAAATGTCGTTTTTTTCTTGCAACTGAGGTGGTTTCACCCCTCTTTGGGTTTTGTAGTCTTTTTTTTCTTTCTTTCCATTTATATGTACGTGTGTGCGTCTTTGTGCATTTGAAATGAATATATTTTATCGCCCTACACATCATATACACTTTTGGCTGCTTGTTCGTTTCTCCATACGAACACACACAAATGGATTTGCACTTAAACAGACGCACCGTCTCACTGCAACGCAATACATGATTTCTACCAAAATTACTTTTTGCTTACGGCTGGGAACGCGTATGGGTGTTGGGATTGTTTCCACTCTTTTTATTTTTTGCGAGTTTTTCTGGTCATTCACTTTGCCACATTTCCCGTTAGGAAGTAGAGGATGCTGCGCCGCGTTATTGTGGGAGGTGTTTGCCGCCGCGCATCTCCGTCCATTGCGGGGAGGATGGTGGCCGCTCGCTACGCCGCCACCATACCGACCTCTACTGTGGCATCAACAACCATGTCGTCCTCGCCAACAAGCAGGGACGACGCCTCCACAAGAGCGGTGGTGAGTGAGGTACCAAATCTAAGTTTTCTTGCCTCCAAGACGGTGCTGGCGGAGACGGTAGAACAAACCATTGAGGTGTGCGAGGCACTGCTGAATGAAATTCCCAAAGTGAAGGGCGCGAAGGAGAAGCATGATCTCATTGACTCGACAAGCAACGTGCTCTGTTTGCTTCTGGACCCATGCGAGTTTGTGCGGCAAATCCACCCCGACGAGGAATACAAGAAGCATGCAGCATATGCCTTTCAGAAGGGGTATGAATACATGAGCAAGGTGAATTCCCGCCGAGACCTCTACGATGTGATCGTTGAGTTGGACAGTCCGGAGGGAAGAAAGCAGCTTGATGATGAGGAAATCAAAAACGTTGTGCAGCTAAAACGTGACATGGAAAGCAATGGCATTCACTTGTCTGATGCCCTTAGGGAGAAGGTAACGGAAATGAATATTGAGAAGGAGGATTTGGCTATGCGTTTTTTGACAGAGCAGGGGGCAAAGAATCCTTTTGCCACACTTCGCTACCTTCTCCGTTGTCGCTATGAACTTGCAAAACTTCTTGGTTTTGAGAGCTACGCGGAGCAACAATTGCGGGGAACAATGCTGGGAAATCAACAAAGTGTCTGGCACTTTCTCTGTGGGATTGCCCACAAGTATCGTTCGGCCGCAGAGAAGGAATTGAACCTCATTCGACAGAATGTGGGTGAGGTACGCAATCGACAGAATATTACGGACGATACTCGGGCCCGCGTCGCACATTCGCTCCGTCGAGACGCCGAGCCTGCGAAGGCCGAAGAATACTTTTCCGTTGCCAATTGCATACGGGGAATTCAGTGCCTGTGCTCGGAGGTCTTTGGCCTACGACTGGAGGAAGTGCCGTTTGAGAGGGAGGAAGTGTTTAACCCGGACGCCAAGAAGTTTTACGTTTACGATGAGAACCGGGCTTTTTTGGGCATTATTGTTCTGGATATGTATGCAAGCGATATGAAATACTGCCAGGCGGGGCACCTCACTCTGCAGTTGGGCTGTAAGCCCCATCAGGAGGCTCTCGCACGGGTAGGGCTGAAGCTCCCGGAACGGCAGTACCCAGTTGTTGTTTTGACCTGCAACGTGGGTGCCCTCACGCCGGCGCAACGGCTCCCCAATGGAAGATTTGATGACGAGTCTACCCTTATGCATCCAAGCGAAGTAACGACGGTTTTTCACGAGTTTGGCCATGCGATGCACACAATCTTTGGGCAAACAAAAGTGCAAAATTTAGCTGGAACTCGCTCTAGTATTGACTTTGTGGAGACCTTTTCGCAACTATTTGAACATTTTCTAACCTCGCATGAATTTTTGCGGCTGTGGGCTCATCGCATCAACACACGGGAACCGATTTCTTTTGATATTGTGATGAAACGCAACGCGGCTGCTGACATGTTTAAGCATTTAGACATGCTGGATCAGGTAGTGCTCTCGGCTGTTGACCAGACACTTCACGGACCTCAGCCCTACACTGTGTATTTCCCCCACGGCCAAAACGGACACCTCGGAAAGCGCACTCTTGGCGACAGCAGCGATTACGGCCGCGGCACATACAACTTAGCGAAGATTCTTATTGATGTATGCACCCCTCTCTCAATTGTAACACCGACAGAGAGTGGTGTGCTTGGCACGCTGTCATTTGAGCATTTGTCCGGATATCCTGCCGGCTACTACGGATACCTTTACAGTCTTTCCGTTGCTCGGCGGATTTGGTCGAAGAAGTTTGAGAAGGATCCACTGAATCGTGCTGCAGGGAAGGAACTGGTGCAGGAAGTCATGCGGCACGGTGCCGCATGCAACCCCGTAGAGGTCATTGAGAAGTACTTGGGCGACAACCTGGACGAGATTGACATCTGGGCGTAAGGATGTGTAAATGGCAGCGGCAGCAATGGTGCAAGAACAGGAAGAACAGGAGATAAAAGGGAAGTGCGTCTTTTGGGGGAAAAAGTAAATAAAACTAAGAAACAAACAAACAAACAAAAATAATAATAATTAAAAGGAAAGCGAAAGGGGGTGGAGGATGCTGGTGGTTAATGTTGTTGGTATTTTTGTGGTGGTGGTGGTGGTGGTAGTGGCGTATCCTTTCCTTGTTCCGCTGTGTGGTAAATGTCTAGAAAAGAAGAGGAAGAGTTCTTAATGCGTGTTGTCCTCCCGTGCCGCAGAGGTCGTTTTTCTGTTGTTTTGTTGTTTTCTCTTCAATTTCACTTTTTTACGCACAAATTTTTTTTTTTTTTTTTCGGCGACAAAAGTGAAAAAAGTTCAGAATATCGTGAGGGAGAAAAAGGGGTTTGCCGGGCAAACTATACATTTGGGTTAGTGCGGGAGTTTTCTTAAACAGCATGATGCGTCGCTCTTTTTGTTTGCTTGCAGCTGCTGCCGCCACCACCGCCGCTGCTTCTGCCGCATCGCCCACGAATACCAAGATGAGTACCCTTTACAAGGTCCTGACGGGCGAGCTGCACTTCAAGAACAAGGTACCCGTCAAGGAGTGCAATATTGTGTACCAGTTTGGTGAGGATTGGGAGTCGGAATTGTCGGCATATGCCAAAGCTCTTTCCGCGCAGCAGAAGAGTGTTCTCGAGCGGCAAATGGTACGTCTGAAGATTACACGTTACACGGTTGCAGAGCTTTCCGACTACTGTGGTGATGGCCCCGCCCATCTGGACGCGTCAGCACGCGAGGCGAACATTGAGCAGGGCGTTGCTTTTCTAAAGGAGAAGGGCATAGAAGCGTTTGAGAAGTATGTGGCCGAGGAGGCGGTGAATGCAAACTGGAAGCCGGCGGACGTGAAGAAGTTTATCGACGCCGTGAAGGGTAAGGCAAAGTAAACAAATGAGCGGAAGGAAAAATGACAACAAAGAAGTAAAAAAAAAAAAAAAAAGGGAAATCAGAGGAGAAACAAAAAAACAAAAATTATGGCAAGAAAGAGATAGACTAACTTGAGGGCAATGATGGGTCTTGCGATGGGCTGGGGTGCAGAACTCCGGTGCAGGGAGGAAAACGCCGATGTGCTTCTCTTTCTCTCCCTCTCTCTCTGTGACTCTTTTTTTGTTTCTGTGTAATATATATTATAAATGTATGTGTGTGTCATTATGGATGCAGTGGGAAGACGGGTGTTGAAGTCATCCTGACGCTGATTAGGAAACAATGTACGTGTGCATGACGCAGACACACACATCTTCACGAAGGGAGGGAAGTTTCTATTAAACAGTTAAAAGGAAAATGATGACGGATGTCAGGACTCAGAAGTAAATGGATCACTCAACCTTTTCTTTTTTTTTTCTTTTAAAAGTTTCTTTAGGCAAATTTAAAAATAAAGCAAGAAAATAGTTAACTGATATTTTTACATAAAAAGTAGCGTATACACGTTACACAAGTAAACACGAAGAGAGCGAAGGGGTAATAAGGCGCAGCGTTCAACTTTTTTTTTTTTTTTTTTTTTGTGTGTGTGTGTGTTTTAAGCTAAACTGACAGAAAAGTATTGGATTGGAGAAAAAGAAAAGGAAGCAGCACCTGCAAAAATGCCTCCCAAACGTCCACTCTACGAAGTTCTTGGTGTGTCGCAGGATGCGGCCGAAGAGGAGATTTCTCGTGTTTACCGGCGAATGGCGCTTCAGTATCATCCTGACCGCAATCCAAACGGGGAGGCAAAGTTCAAGGATATTGCAAATGCGTACAGCGTTTTGGGTGATTCAGAGAAGCGCCGCGTGTATGATGCGACTGGCGTTATTCCTGGAGGTGCGGCGGAGACAGACAATGAGGCCACAATGGCGGAGCGCTCTGCCGAAATGAAGGAACGTGTCCAGGTGTTCTACGCCACATATGCAGGGTCGCCGGAGGAGACAGAGGATGTCATATCATGCTACAAGAAGTGCAAAGGGAACTTTCGGCGAATGGCGCGAGAGGAGCTTCTTTTTGACAACAAAAAGCAGGGGGAAATTCAGCGTCTGATGGAACTTGTACGGAGCCTCGTGGAGAGTGGACGACTGAATCCGACGGAGGCGTGGAAGGTGACGAATACTGCGGCGGTGCTTAAGCAAATTGAACGGTCACTGACGAGGGAGCGCAAAGAGGCGAAGGACGCCCTTGACGCCATGGGCCTTTCCGCCAAGGAAGGGGAAGGCGGCCTGCATGCATTGCAGGCGCTGATGAAGCGAGACCAGGAGGCCGAGTGGAGCAAGATGATGAGCAACCTGGAGTCCAAGTACGTGAAGCCAAAGTCGGCCACAAAAGGAGTGGAACAAAATGGCAAGCGGAATAAAAGGAAGGCAGAAGCAACAAAAACTGTTTCCGCTCCACCGCAAAAAAAGTCGAGGAGGTGACGCCAATTAAGAAGTGGGATATAACAAGCGTGTTTGAACAGAAAAGGGGAATAGAGAGACAATTGGATGCGCACACGAGTGCACGAGGGGTAGAGTATTGCAATACTATAGACAACCAAGTTCAGTATTATAGAGTTTACGAGGGGGAGATGCTGGGGGTGCAACCACGGCAATGAAATAGTCCTCTACCCCACTTCTTATTTATTCAAGTCTTCAAAATGGATATGAAAGAAGAGAGCAAGGGAAAATCCATATGCAGTTTGCTGTACACCTTGCAACGAAATTCATCATAATTTACGTATATATATACTGAGAGAGAGAGAAAGAGAAGTGATTTTAACGTGCCATTTTTTGTTCTTCTGGTCTCTCGGCTTGCTTGTTTTGTTTTGGTTCTTTGTGTCTTCTTCCTTTTTTTGTGTGTTTTTCAAGGAAACACGATAAAGGAAAAAGAAAAAAAAGGTTATATTATCCACACCACAAAAATCACTTTAATACGATCGTTAGAAATGAAGACGAATGGTAATGACTCTGTTTGTGAGGGTTTGCTGCGAGAAAGTCGTGGCCTGCGTCAGGGAGAATTTACGGGTCGGCAGTCTTTGACGAGCCGCATCAGCATGAATGTTGCACGTCGTCTGTCTGTTATTGGCGTAGCAGAAGAGTCACGTACCGCTACCGTGTCCGGGGCAGCTATAAATACTCTCTGCAATGTTATTGGGGCAGGTGTACTCTCACTGCCGCTTGCGATTTGCGAGGCTTCAGTGGTTGGTGCTTTAGTATTGATGTTTTATACTGCAATTCTTTCAGGATTTGCCGTATTTGCCGTTGTGGCTGCGTGCGACGCGACGCAACGTTTTTCCTTTACGGAGGCTGTGGCTTTTGTCATATTTCCTTCCTTAAATTTTGAGGAATTCTGTACAATGTATTCATTCGTGCCCTTGAGGGCAATGTCGAACCAGAAAAAGGAACTATGGAGTTGGATAACCTTCGCCGATGCCACAAGGAGGATGAAATTCTGCGCCGCAAACGTCGACGCATTTTAATGGTGTTGGTAGAGTCAGTTATATTTCTGAATAACTACGGCGGTCTTGTAATTTACTCACGTGTCATTGCGGACTCGATACCCCCCGTTGTGAAAAATTTCTTGCATGGATCGGGGTTTTTTGTTACGCGCATTTTTTGGCTTTTGACATCTGGAGTAGTATTTTTTTGTTTAAGTTGTGTGCGGAACATGGACGAACTTAAGTGGACATCCATACTCGGTTTTCTCACAATATTCTATATCGTTTTAACTGTAGTTGCACGGTATTTCACGAGTTGTCATACCCCGCCGTATCCCAATGTTGATCCTGCAGACCGCGGCGAAATCAACTGGTACCATGTGGGGACGGGCATATTTCGTGCAATATCCACTTATGGCGTGGCTTTTGGTTATCATTATAATGTACCGTATTTCTACCGGGAGCTGAAGGATCGCAAACCATCTACTATGATGAAAACCGTTTACGTGGCGTTTCCCATAATTGTTTTTTGTTATGCCGCAACAGGGGTGTTTGGATATTTGACGTTTGGAAACTTGGTGACTGCGAAAACCTCTGGGGGCGACATTGTGCGTAACTACCCCGATGATGACCCGGTGGTGAATGTTGGACGCCTAGGGCTTTTTTTTCACTTTGCTTGTGTCTATCCCATCCTCTCCGTCTGTGCCCGTCGAGGATTTCATCGAATTCTCATGAACGCACTGACGTGGTGTAGCCAGACGGAGCTTATTGAACCGGGAAGAGACCCGGAACAAGTGGGCCGTAGGGAGCGTGAGTACACCGCAGTGGATGTGACTGGCAACATGTCTATTATAGGCCCCGACAGGGACGTTGGTTCTCCCGAAGACACCACCCGGCTAGCCATCGTTCTTGAGGCATTTTTTCTTGTTACTACAACGGTCGCGATTGCTGCCGCCGTATCGGGAATTTCAGTGGTGATTGATTTCTTCGGTGCGCTTTTTGGAGTTTTCTTGATGCTAACGTGCCCTGGCCTTATTGCGTGGTTTTTGTTTTCACGTGCCCAGCTGTTAAGAACCTCCCCGTACCGTTTTGCCCGCCTACTCATGGCTCTTTCCGTGTTGCTTATTTTTACGGGAATTGTTTTTTCCGTCGTGGGAGTGGCGTTTATTATTAAAAGCTACACCACCTAGCAGGGTGCAGTGACGCTCAACCTTTTTGTTTTTGTTGGGGCATTTTTTTTTTTTTACGGACACTTTCTTCTTCTGTTTAAAGTAGGGCTTTTCCTTTGAATGTGTTGGTGCGAGGGAAAATGTAAGTGAATGTGATAAGGTGGTGCTTGCCGTCCTTGGCACGTGCGCACATATTTATTTTCCCCTTCTGACGGTTTTATGTTTTTTTCTTTTTTTTTTTTTTTTTTTTTTTTTATTCAACATCTGTCTTTTTTTTTTTCTTTCTTTTTTGTAGTTTTTTGGGTCTTCTTTGCCTCACCTTTGTTTTTCGCAACTCTCCCTTCCCTTTTTTTTTTTTTTTTTTTTTTGGCAGGTGTCGCCTCCACTCTTCTTGCGCACCGTCCAGACACACAAAGCCGAGGGAAGAAGGGAATATTATTGAAGCTTAAGGGACAATTAAGAGAAATGCGGCGATGGAGTCGATTTACCATGATATCTGCACTGTTATGTCTTTCTCGCTCTAATGCCACCTTGAAAATGGCACGTAATATACAGAAGGTCCCCACGGTGGCAATGGAGGATGTGGAGGAAGCAGTGGATGACACGGAAGATGCCGCCGATGTTGAAACGGATGGCAAGGATGAAACAATTGTTGAGATGGACGAGGTGAGAATGCAGGCATTGCCCAAAACATACAGAAGGTCGTCGCCGAAGGAGTCATGTCTTTCCGTGGAAGAGAGACGACAGCTTACACGGATGATTTTTGAGACTCATTACGCCTCACTGGGAGAAGGAAAGGAGGACAGAGCAATGTGGTATCAGAGTGCACTGGAGGTGCAGTGGCTAGAGGAGTGGGCTCTGGCCGAGGGAGGGAACCAGAAGGATGCCGCACGACGTGCGGTGAAGAAGGCGGTGTTGCAACGCGTCGACCTGCATAAGCCTCTTGCGTACATTATAGGAAATCAGCCTTTTTATGGATGCAATATCCACTGCTTCCCTCCGCTTCTTTGTCCACGACCGGAGACAGAGATGTGGACTCACTGGTTTGTTCAACGCCATCTGTCTCGTGCAACAGCCGATGAAAAGTCTCCGCTACGTGTATTAGATATGTGCTGTGGCACTGGTTGTGTAGGTATTGCCATCGCTGTGCATTTACCGCACACAGAAGTCGTGGCAGTTGATGTTATGGAGGAGGCCGTGAAAGTGTCTGAGGAGAATGCAAGGCGGAATGGGATTCATGTATCGCGTTATCGTGCAATCAAAAGCGACATGTTTGAGGCTTTTGTTGAGCTTGACGATACTTCCAGTAGCGGGAAAAACAAAGAGGGAATAAGTGAGAATAAGAAGACACAAATAGCAGATTTGCACGTGGGCTCGTTTGATATCATCGTCTCAAATCCCCCTTACGTGTTGCCAGAACAGTACGTCCAGCTTCATCCTGGCATCAAACTCTGGGAATCGAAAATTGCCCTGGTGGGCGATGCCAAGAGGGAAAACCACCAGTACCTTTATTTCCAGGAGCTGTGCGAAATGGGATCCGTCATGCTGAAGCCGAAAGTGCGCCGCAATGCAACTCTCGCGAGTGCGCCAAATTTCATTGTGGAGGTGGGTCTGCAGGCGGAGCGTGTGGCTTCTCTCATGGAACGGAGCGCTTTGTGGGAAGATGTGGAGGTTCATCTTGACTACGCACAGCAGCCGCGCTGGATAACCGCCTCTTCCTCCCATTAATTTCCTCTCATTGTGGGAAAATGATCTACTGAGGAAGAGGAAGAGCGTGCGTGTGTGTGTGTGTGAATGGTTGTTATTGTTTTCACGACTTTTCTTCCTCTGTATTTTTATGTGCGTGTGACCTGTTCTTGTTCTTGTTGTTTTTTTGTTCATCCCTTTTTTTTTTTTAAACCCCATTGCGGGTTTTTGGTTGTTTTTTTTTTTTTTTTCAGAAACGCCGACTACAAGAAAAAGGAAGGGCGCATAGGGTCAGTGCACGCAGCAGCTTACTTTTACGGACATTTAGTTATTTTTATTTATTCATTCTTTCTCTCTCTCTCTCTGTGCGTGTGTGTGCGTTTGGCATTGATTGATGGTTCTCATTGAATGCAAGCGACTGCCAAAAGATGAGTACAGCAAGGACTACGATGTTTTTCTGGTGTCGATACCTGGAGTCACAAATATTGGTGAGGCGACGGATGTGCTGCAACAAATGCGAAATACACGTGTGCGCATCAAGTGGATGATGGCGGCCGCGAAACAACTTGCGAAAGACTTCTGTTCAGAGGAGCAGCAGCACCACCTTCTGGGTCCTGTTGCTGACGCTGAGCGTTACATGTCACTTGAACGAGCAGAAAGGCGGTTGACATGCACCCAGAAAGAGTTAGACGATCTGGTTGATGCATTCAAGGGGGGCGCCATGATTCTCTTCCCGGCTGAGTGCAGTGGGACGGATGCGGTAAAACGTTTAGCACAACTTTTGGATGATGACAACACCACCGACACGGAGCGATCCAAGGCACACCGCCTTTTGAGCATTATAGACGATGGGGCAACGACAGAGGATATCCTGCAGGGTGTGGCGACCATGTGGTGGAGCGGCAAACAACTCGATCGAGCTGCCGACTTTACAAAGTACGTGGGCAAGAACGAAAAGACAAAGATTACGGTAAAACTTACGGCCAAGGATGCTCCTGCACCCCCGCGAGAACCTGCATTAGATGCCAAGGCGCAGTCTGAGCTTATGGCTTACTACTTCAGGAAACAGGAGGAAATGAAGAAGATGATAGAAGACGAGGATCTCAGCTACGGCAACAGCGCCTGGGCCAATCCACAGGGCCTCAAGTCTCAACTGCATGGCTTCGATTCGGTGAAGTTCAAGCCGGGGTAACGTCGTTGACAATTTTTTTCCCCCTCTCAAGCCTCTCCTCCTCACTCCCGTTACCTGTTCTTCTGAGTCAATTAGAGGGAAGAGTCCTGTTGTATTCAATGAACGGATATGTAATCTCTTTTTTCTATTATTATTATTATTATTATTATTATACCAACTGTTACTTTTTTTTTTTTTTTCCCCTGTGGGAACGCCATCTTTTTTTTATCCCCCCCACATCCAGCCACACTGACACGGAGATGCAGTATTATATGCCCATGCCTTTCTCTTTTTTTTTTTTTTAATCCTTTTTTGCTTCCCCTTGGCATTTTCAAATACATATATTGCAGGCTTTAGACTTTTTTCCTTTTCTTTCATTTGGCATTGCGGAAGAAATGGGAGTCGACCTCACCGGAGTCCAGAAGAAGAAGCGCGTGGTGCGCCACCACACCTACTCGACGAACCCGTACATCAAACTGCTCATTAAGCTCTACAAGTTCCTCGCCCAACGCACCAACTCCGCATTCAACAAGCTCGTGCACCAGCGCCTGCTTAAGAGCCGCAGCAACCGTGCCCCAATCTCTCTGAGCCGCATCGCCGTCTGCATGAAGCGCAAGTCGGTGTGGCTGGAGAAGGGCAAGAAGGCCCCCATTGCCGTCATTGTCGGTGATGTGCTTGATGACGTCCGCATGGCCCGCATCCCCGCTCTGCGTGTGTGCGCCCTTCGCTTTTCAAAGAGCGCCCGCGAACGCATCACCGGCGCCGGTGGTGAGTGCCTGACGTTTGACCAGCTCGCAATGGTGGCGCCGACAGGGAAGAACACATTTCTGCTGCGCGGCCGCAAGTCTGGGCGCGAATCCGTGAAGCACTTTGGAGCAGCGGGCGTGCCCGGCTCCCACGCGAAGCCCTTCACGTCGAACCGCGGAAAGGAACGCCAACGCAGCAGCGCCCGCCGTCGTGCCTTCCGCCACAAGTAAAAAAAAAAAAAAAAAGAATGGGGAAGGAAAAAAAAGCCAGAGTCCTGTTTTGTTTTATTTTATTCTGCTAAAAATATCAACAACAAAACCTTACACTCTATGTGCAAGGGATGCACCGCCACAATTCATGGAGGCACACTCTCTTCTGCCCGTGTCCGTACTGGGTTTTGGTGAAATGCCTTTTTACTTTTTTCCTGTTTCTCCTGTTTAGCCAACGCGGAAAAAGAAACACACATATACATAACATAAACGAAAAGAAAGCATATACCTCTCCAATGGATGCCATTCTCGTTATACCAAATGCCTCGTCAACCATGGTGATTGATGCCGAGGCTGCAGCCGTGGTAGAACTTAACACATTGCTTTCTCGATCAGGACTTCATTTTTCTACGGCGTCCACCCAGCTACACATTATGCCGGAGACGGTGTATTTTCTTTCACGCGAAGACGTGGCGGTTCTGTCTCGTTTTGCTCGTGTGCTGGTGAAAAATGCATCCGTGCAGTGTGACTTCAGCGCTCTCTGGGGCGTTCTGTGGGGTCATGCAAAGGAGGTGGAGAATGTTCTTAACCAACATGCGCAGCAGCCCTTGGATAAGGAGGGTCGCCCGCAAGAGACGGCATTGCGACAACTCGTGCCGCATTTAATGCTCTTGGCACACGTATTTCACACATTACGGCATATTGAAGAGCCGTTTGCACGACAGGAGGTGAAGGATGCCGTGAACATTGTGCAGAAGGAGGTGGAGATGGTAGTGAGACTTGCACTAAAAGTGACGCGGGTGTTTGACAGTGCCCTAAGGAACCCACAGCGCACCAATGAGAACTCTTTGCGTGCTGTAGAATTGTGTCTCGCCGCACTTGAGATGTTCATTGCTTCCATCGCTTCTCGGAAAACGATAGATGTGAGCCCCGTGCTTGCTTTCTTTAACTCCGATCTGGTTTGGCGTTTCAGTGGGGTTGGTGTGATCGCAACGGAGAGTTACTGTGAAGCCATTCGTCGACTTATAGTTGCCATATTCTTGCGTCAGGATGATTTTGTTGGAGTTGAGGAGGTAGCTGTGCGGCTTTTGCGCCATCGTTTGACCAACAGGCCACCTTTTGACTGGGAGATCTTTCGTCGCTTGTACGTCTTGCGGGACGCTGAGCTCTCCTCTGTGGCCTCGCTCACACCACAGTACGGTATCCTTCGTTACATGAGCATCGTGCAGCTTTGTGTCGAGTCTTTACTTCTCTCAGATGAGTCCTGGACAAAGTCGTTAAGACGACAAACGGTGAAGTCCCTGCATCAAATGAATAAGAAAGAGATGCTGTCCTTTTTTCAGGTTTCTCTTCTGGGTGCCGTGGAGGGAATGCCCGAAATGAATTTCTCGGACGATGCGGAATTGCAACGCCGCTCCGTGGTGACTCATCTAACTGTCCAGAATACTAGTAAGGATTGCATTCTTCAGCCAAGCTTTCTCCGAATTCTTTTGGCACACGGCTACATCGTTCCTCAGATAAATCACGGTGTGCTGAAGCGAACTTCTATCATTTCGCTGCTGCGTGCTATTGCCGAACAGCTTTTTCAGTTGCCGCTTATTCAGTCAGGAGAAAAAAACTCGTTGACGGATTTAACATTGATTCCACCTGTTTTGACCAAACGAGTTTTACGGCTTATTGTTGATGCCGCCGCTTCGGACGTCGAGATGGCTTGTGATGTGATGTTGGAGGTGCATCAGATTACGTGGGTTATTTATGAGGCCAACATCTCGCAATGTGCCTCTCTTTTGTCCGCGCAGAGGATGCCTGTACCACTTCGACGACTTTCCGTTTCAGCGATGGAGTTACTTGCCATTTTTTTTGAGCCTAACGCGATTCTTTGCAGTGCTGGTCATTCCATGACTCTGGAGTCTCTTGCACGGGTGTTTGCGGTTTTAGCGTTCTACAGTTCTGCCAAGAAGGACGCCGGGAATATGGAAAAAAAAGCAACATTGCGACTCATTAACAATCTGGGCATGAAGTTGTCATCTCTCGCACGGATGATGACGGCTGAAGAGATTAAGTCTTTCTTCCATACTGTGATTCTTCCCTGTACCTCGAAGGAGAAGTTAATACAGAAGAATCGTCAGCAATACGCATTGCAGGAGGCGTATTTACGTGCCTTTTCTTCCTCTGCTGTCGCTCTTGCAATGGATGAGGCCACTATATTGAGACACTGGGTGGATACTGCTCTTCGCTGCATCCGAAACACACTTAGTGGGGCTCTCTCCCTTGCAGGGCTTGACTTTTTTACCGCTATATTTCTTTCAAGGCGAGCTATTGCGCCTCTTTTTGTTCCAACGTACGTGGCATTGATGATCCCAATCAAAAACAAAACACGTTATGGCGAGCCATCATTGTTTCTGGTGCGTCATTTTGCAAAGGGTGTGCGGGCAACATGTCAGGCACTTGAAGACTGTGATGAGCAGATACTGGCAGGGATGATGCAAAACCCAAACTCATCTTTAAAAAAATTTCTTTTGGAAATTTATGGGGAGGGAGACGCCGCACCATCTCTGGATAATGTGCGACCTATCAGTTGTGTTCTTCTTATTGTATCAGCGCTCTTTGACAAGGTTTGTCTTATTCTTGGCCACACTGCGAAGGCACAAACCACCATCGCCACTGCCTCCAGGCAAGAACGGATTGCACGTTTCCAGGCGTATTTTTCCGCACTTATTAATTTGCTGCGGTGTCGCTCGCGCCCTGTGCTTCATCGTGTGTGCGCCTCAGTAGAAGCAGTCATACTGGAGCACCTGCACGGTGTTCCGAGGGCTCAGTTGCAGTGGATGAAGTACACCACAGCTACGGTGGACTTAATTGAGGGAACGGGTAAAAAAGAGTTGGTGGAATGGCTTCTGATGTTGGAGGAAAAGGCAAGAGGTTCCATTCCCCATTCTCCACTCTAGCTCGTCATTTGGTGAGAGGGGGAGGGGTGTTGAAATGTGTGAGTCAAAAGAAAG